ATGTCTATTCTTGTTATTTTCATAATTCTTTTTTCCTTAACATTTAAATTTTTAAGATATTTATGTTATAGGACTTATAGATTATTTAAGTTTTTAATGAGTGGATTTCAAAAATTAATGGCAAAATTGATCATTTTTTTAATTTGAAAACATGTTTTACAAATAACTTGAACATTTTTTAAATTTATTTTTTTTGAAATGATAATAAATATATTTAGATTGTAATTTGAACAAAGTTTTTTCATCTCTGTATTGGATCTACAACCTCTAACAATTAAATCTACTTACAAATAATTCAACTAGATTTGATTTTATTTATTATAAAGATATTTCATTTTTTGTTTAATTTTTAATTATTTCATATGTAGGTTGTAATAGATTTAAAGGGCATTGAAGTAAGGGGTTTTGGCATGGATATTAGTTAAAAATAGACAATGGACAAAAAAGAGACATTTTCTTAAACTTTCCAAATATGTGACTAATAAACACTTAACTCTCTAAATTACCCTTGGCTTTCAGCACTGCATCCACATGACTACCGTAACGTAGGCCGCAACATAGCCGACCAAAGTCTTACGTGTCATTGCATCCTCTATTAATTAATTCTTCTTTGTATTTATATATTTTTATTTGCCATAGTAGATACTTGGACTTCAATATTTAAATTATTACATGAAAATAATTGTGAAACGCTACAGTGACATGAGATGCAATGACATCCACCACCACCACCCACCACCTTCGATCGGTGACCGCCGCCGGTCGGAGACCGTCGTCGGCCATAGTGACAACGACGAAGTGACACCGTCACAGTGACAACCACCGTAGTGACCCCGCCGTAGTGACTCCGCCGTGAACCACACCGATCAGTGACTGTCGCTGCCCCCTCCGGTCACAGTGACACGCCGACTTCGGTCATTGTGACACCTCCATAGTTACCTGCCACCAAAGGTCACCATCAACCACCAGACCTCACACGTCCACCCACCACCAGCGACCCGCTAACACACTGCTCCCGACCTGGTCGTCGATTCAGTGACCTGTCTTCGGAACAGTGACCTCCGTCCCCGGCCACAGTGACCTCCGGCGGAGGCAATTGCAGTGACCACCTTCGCTGACCGTTACAGTGACATCCCTTCCCAGAGACCCTGCCCTGCCCATCCCCATTTCCCCTGCTCCTGCAACACCGCCTCCGCCACGACCACTTCCGACCAGCCCAACATTTCCTGCCTCACCAATGTACACCGTCACCGCCCCCGGCCATCACACCCTAGTTACCCTTCACATCACACACCTATCCTACGAACATCGTAGCGACCCCGTTGCCGCCTAACGAGCCCGACCCCGTCCAACGCCGCATCACTGACGTCGACCATCAATGCCACTTTCAGAGCAAAAACATTGCTCGTCTCCGAACAATATCGCTCCTTGCGGCACTCAGTAAGGCCGCCGCCGTCGCTGTGAAACAAACCCTAGGCAGATCCGTACTCTGTCGCCGTAATCAATGATGGAGCTGCAGTCGTTGACATCGCCATCCTCAACAATGTCGTCATGGTTTGGTCATAGGCCGCCATCGCCGGCGTCCAGTGTAAAGCCGTGGTCGTTGTCCGCTGCAAATTCATCGTCCTCAATCAGGTCGTCGTCGCCCTCAGCCACGCCAATGTCTTCCTCAGGCAGACCGTCGTCGATCGTCTTTAGGTAGGCCACCATCTTCCTTTAGCCAGTCCGCCTCCACTTTCATAAAAAACCCTAGTGTAGAGAAAGGATATAGCAGAGATGAGCAATTCGATGGGTGAGAAAGGAAGGGATAAGTGCAGGGGTGTTTTTTTCTTCCAATTCTATTTTACTCACTTTTGTGTCCAATCTCAACTTTGATCTTACTTTTGTCTTTTTAAAGTTCCGTACTATTATTTATGCCATTATTTCTTGAAGTAATCCATCATATTAACAAAATTAAAGGGCATTGAAGTAAAAGATATCTTTTAATCAAATAATCCATCATATCTGACAAAATTAAAGGGCAGAGACTTGAAGGGCATTGAAGTAAAAGATATCTTTTAACAAAATAAATTAATGTCACGTTCCTTTCCTCTTAACCAAACACAAATGAGAATAAATTGAATACATTCCCATCAATCTAACTTACTCAACAATCTGACATTCTCATGGTAATATGACATTCCTCGAATCAAACGACCCCTTAAAGACCTCAAACTAAGACCAGTTTAAAAGTCGAGTTTGGCATGAAGCTTGTGAAGAAAAATATATTGCTAAAAAAATAAAAAAATAAAAAGTAGTAATCTCAGTCAGTAATAAAATATAAGTGGATTTTAAAATTTGGTAAAGATGATTTTTTTATGCTTGTACAAGGAAACCCCTGCAGGGTTGGGCCAACCACCACACTACCGTTTGGGTTCATGGTTGACTGCATGCGGCAGTCTGAACTCTGCTGCCGCTGCCTAAAGCTGGAATTCCACCACTTGTCACTGCCACTACTACCGGATTGATCTGCCACCAAAGAATTAAACTTGTTTATGCAAGTGAACTAGGAAGCAATAATTATATTAAGTAATTAGATTAGGTGAAGAAGAATAATGTTTAATCCTATTTAGAGAATATTAAACATTACTAGAATATTAAACATTACTCCTGTTGAAAGAAAAAGAGCACATTGTATTCTTAATTTTTTTTATAGAGTATTGTACTCTGACATTACTTTTATACTCCGTACGTAATAATGTAATATAAACGTTGTCAAGCCTAAGCACCTAGCTATTGAATGAAGTGTTTTAAACTAGGGCAGGACTCTATTTAGTGTCCTAAAAACAAATATTCCTCTCACAAAGATAAAGTTTTGGACTTTGTTAAGGATAGGTAGAAAAATACACATTGGGTGATTGAAACTCAAGTAACTCAACAAGATGTAGAAGAGGTTGAAGTCCATTAATTGATTGAGTTAAATGGAAGTGTGTCATTAAGTATCATTTAATTTTGGTTTTAAGCTGGGACATAACTACATTTTCAATTAATAATTTTTAATAATATTGTTTTGAGAAATTTCCCGAAATAGGAGAATAAAGGTTTCGGAATTCTAAAATATAATTGCTATGCTTTGATATGCATGGTACAATATTTTTCAACCATGATAGTAACGACTCCTATTCCAAAAAACACATAGCATTCATATTTTGAAATTCTAAAGCGTGCTTATACCTATTTAGAACAATTTGTCTAATTTTTTACACAAAAGTTACGTGATTTTTTCAAATTCAGTGAGGGTTGCGGGAAGTGACAAGTGAGCAAGGGCTGCAATAGTGGAGACGTGGAGTGGTAAAAAGCATGGGTTGCTAGAGTATTAGATTTAGGGAATGAGGCAAATAAGCTCTCGAACTAACTGAAAAAGTGCAAATTACCTATTTTATAGAAGGCTATGTTCGGCCATCGTCATTTGAGTCAGTTCCCGGTGTAAATTTTTTATGAAAGTTTTTGAACATCTTCTTCATTAAGTCTAGTTTACTCATACCAAATTTCAGCTAAACATTCAATCGTGAAGGCAATCAAATAAATGTTTAAAGATAACTGCGCAGTTAAACAACGCAGTATATTTCAGAAAATCATTTGACTGCCTTCCCGGTTGAATTTTTACCTGAAATTTGGTATGGGTAAACTAGACTTAATGAAGAAGATGTTCAAAAAAATTCCACCAGTAACCGCCCAAAATGGTGATGACCAGACAGAGCCTCCTATAAAAGTGTCATTTTTAACACATCACATCACCAGCTTATACATTAAAGGTAATTAATTACAATGGGATCATTTGTTTAACATAGAAAAACTAAATTAATTACTCCGTACATAAAGAGTAATCAATGTTTTGGAAATAAAGTAGCCATTTTTTGTGTTTTAGCCATGTTTGAAGTATAGACGTATAGTACGGCATACAGTGCGTGACCCGCATTTTCAGGTCAGAATTCCATTGGTCACTCACTCCCCAGATGGGGTGTTCTGTTTTCGGCCACCACTTACAACTTACCAACCAGACCGCCGCTAGGGTCTCTTGCCTTTGTGCACGTTGTTGTTGGCTTTTAATCTATCAATTTTATCAAAGTAATGTTGATGGAATATGATTAAAAAAATTATGTTAGTAACCAATTACATTTAATGGCACGCTATTGATTAAAGAAATGAGACAAAACTTTCAACTTCAAGTTGTCACACTTATTTCATGTAAAACAGGAATATTACGAGCCCTTTTTGTGATTCTGGTTTTCGGCTTATCTGGCTTATCAGTCAACTTTTTAATCAAACACGTAATTTTTTTATTTTGCGCACTGTGTTCTGTAATAATAAGAAAAAGTAAGGTTGAAGTTACTTTTCTGGTTGTATTGAACGAAGTTACCGTAGATAGTCATTTTAGTTATATTTTCATACATTTTTTGCTTTATTTCATTAATAAAATATATCTTAAATATAATTTTATCATAAATAAGAAGAATCAGCCAATACAACCACTTCAGTCAGAATTTCATAAATATCAATACAATCAGCTGATTTCAATGGTACCAAAACGGGCTCTACATCTATATGACGTACAACAAATCAGTTTAATAATAATCTTTTAATAATATTTTAGTACAATTTTTTACAAAAATATTACTAACATAAAACTTATTTACACAAATATGACTATTAGTTACGTAGTACTACAACGCAGTGCCATAGTATTATAACTTTAAATATTGAACATAAGTTACTATAATTTCATTACTACTCTAGTCATTAATCAATTTTTTGTTAACAGTCTTCATTTTAGTCATAATCATGTAATTATTTCAATATATGTTGAAAAAATTATATTGTATTCAAATTTATTTGTATGACATATTCTATGTTGAAGTAATTCAAACTGAAATACAAGAGTTTGATTTTAATTTTCGAAAAGTAATAATCAAGTATTTAAATATTATACTCAATATTGATGAGTGATGATTAAGAAAATACAAGGAACTCCAAAAATTCAAAAATACAATTAATGTTATTGTTCTAAAAGAATTGACTAAAATTACAGAACCCGACTAGTTTAACCATTTTCCATCTAATTTTATCTTTTTTATTTAACCATTTTCCATGTAATTTTATCTTTTTCATTAATAAATTGTATTCCATATTTCAAATGCAACTTTTTGATGTTTCAGCGATTCAACTAATCCAACAATTTCCTCCGGAAATTCAGAAATTTGATTAGGGAATTTCAATATTGCCAACTCTCTGCTAATCTATTTGAATATTGATTTGGAGTGTGTCGTGATTCTCGTCCAAGCCCGCGTCTGAAATAAGCATACAATTTTATTTGGACCGTCCTTTAAATATAAAATAGTACTTCTAACTTACTGGTACTCTCCGGTAGTGAAAACCAAATCGTGCTCCTTAATTTCTCCTCCTCCTCCTCCCAGTCTATGCTGAAGAGGATGGGAAGCGAAGCAGTTCAAGCAAACTTGGGAAGCATTCAGCAGAGGAGGAAGGAGATCAAACCCAGATTTCTTTGCCTGCATGGCTTCAGAACTAGCGCCGACATTCTCAAGAATCAAATAATCACGAAATGGAATCCTGCCGTCGTCGATAAACTCGACCTTGTCTTTCTGGATGCCCCTTTTCCCTGCCTCGGAAAATCCGAGGTCGAGGGTATTTTTGACCCTCCTTATTACGAATGGTTCCAGTTTAACAAGGTCTCTCTTTTTCTTCAATATGATTATTGTAATTATAATCTTATGATTCTTTTCTTTGTTCTTGATATGAGATTCTTTTATAAATGGGTGTCAGGAATTTACACAATACCAGAAGTTGGATGAGTGTTTTACATATATAGAAGATTACATGGTAAAGAATGGACCTTTTGACGGTCTTCTTGGTTTCTCCCAGGTTTGCTACTCTTTTCTGTCTGGTCTAGCTATTTTTGTGGTTGGGTTTATCTGCAATTTTAAAACATTAAATAAGTTGAGTTTATAAAGAAATTAATCCCTCCAATGTCTGTTTTGTGTTTTTGTTGTTGGTCTGATTGAAAACCAGGGCGCCATTTTGTCTGCTGCCCTGCCTGGCTTACAAGAGAAGGTAATATGTGGTTTTGTTCATTAGGCCTGATTTCACCTTGAAATGATACAATTCATAATTAAGAAATGACCTAGTAAAAGTGTAAAACATGAGTTATGTGCACATATTGGAGTGTCTTTGTTTTATTCTTTAATAGGATTCATTCCTTCCTAAATATTGTGCAATCTAATCAATCTCTTCTTTAATGGGGAATATGCCTTTTTAACTCATTTCCATGCAAAATTTTAAACAAAAATATTGTGCAAGGAAACACATCGCAGATGTGTTCATAGTTCTTTTTGAAGAATTTTTAGCAGACAGTCGTGATTTCAAGAAAACATAATAATGGTCTATTTGAAGATATTTGTTTGCTTGAGTCTTACTGAGAAAGTTATATCTAGTTAATTTGGTTTAGTTATTCAGTTAATTGTATATGAATTCAATGGATTGGTTAATCTGACCCAAGATCTATCTCATAAATTCAAAACTTCTTCTTTAATATTTGTTTCTGGAACAATAAAAATTGCTGTGATTGGGCAGGGTGTGGCTCTGACCAAGGTTCCGAAGATAAAATATCTGATAATCATTGGAGGTGCAAAGTTTAGGGAGAGATCAGTAGCAGAAAAGGCATTTGGTTCGCCTGTCACATGCCCCTCTGTCCATTTCATAGGAAAGGAAGACTTCTTGAGGGAACCTGGGATTCAACTCCTTGAATCTTTCATTGATCCTTTGGTTATTCATCATCCAAAAGGACACACCATTCCACGATTTGGTAAATGTCCTACTCATTTTCTGCATTTTGTCATGCATCTCTATATTTACTCCACTAGGTTATAGTATTTACATTGTTCAAATCATTATACATCCCGAAGGCCCCAAACCATATTATGACTTAAAGCCCCATCTTGAAATGTCAGTCAAATAAGAGTACTCAAACTTTTCATACCAAGTGTATGATCACATAACATATTCCACAAGATAGTGGTTATTGGAGTAGAGCAATCTTGAACGATGTGCTTGCTAATGAGGCTCGCGTGGGTTGAATTGCTCGTTAAAACTTAATTGACTTCGTTTCATATCTGATAGAGTATATCTAGAGAGAAGTGAGAGCTAGAGAGAGAAGTGCAATAATATGCTTCAATAGAATGAATTTGTAACCCCTATAACTACTCCCAAGGGGAGTATTAATAGAGAAAATACGGGCTGGGCTCCCAAGCCTTGGGCTTGGGAGGCCCATTTACAACTGGACCGCTACTGGGCCGAATACAAAGCCACTAATGGGCTGTACAAATGAGTAAGTGTAAAATCAGGTTCTGGGAGGTCTTCGTGGCCGACGAGGGCGTGGCCGACGAGGGCGTGGCCGACGAGGGCACGGCCGACGAGGGCACCCGGGTTCCTTGGGCTCAGGACCGTAACCCGAGTTGGCCCCTTTTCGGCCGACGGGGGCGTCTTGGCCGACGAGGGCGCCACCCTGTGTCTTGTGCTTTCTATTCTTCCGAGTATGTGGGTCCGGGGGCTCAGACCCATATACTCCAATATCAATACTGGGCATTTCATCCTAATAAGGCAACCTCGATGAGTTGAGTAGTTTAAGACCTTATATTTGAGTATGCATTTTTATATTTAGTCGATTTGAGATAACTTAACTAGACCATGATTGTTGTTTAATGATTTCATGTTTAGTCGATTTAGGACAACTACTTAAACGCCCTATAAAGTATTAAGCCTGTGGTCCAAAAATGACAAACCATATGTTTTCTCCCCCTGTTTTCAGACGAGAAAGGCTTGGGAGATATGCTTTCCTTCATCAATAGGATGGAGAAGGAGATGATCACAGGGGAAGAAGAGCAGGAAATTGTTCCTAGTGGTTGATTCCGTATAAGAAAAACTATTAAGATTATTATTGATTGAGTATATTGCCATTGGTTTCATGCCATTGATTGTGTAGTTATGGTTGTTGATGCTTTCATGCCATTGCTTTCATGCCATTGCTTTCATGCCATTGCTTTCATGCCATTGATTGTGTAGGGCAAGTATTCAACAACTTTACCTGTAGATGATATAGCTAAATTGTGTTGGCTTACCCAGCAAGCTGATAGTACTTTCAAATAAGAAATAATTGAATTTCTTGCGGTAACAATGGCATAGCCACAAGTATAAATTCGATCGAATCGGAACAAAAACAAACTCAAATAGATTGTTACACAAATTTCTACAAATACATTTCATTCGTTTTTTAAACTTGGGATGGGTCGGGGACTCGAGGCGTATCATAATCCCTCGTCCCCTCTACTTATGTTCTTGTGCAACATCATTTACAATGGTTGGATTGGCTAGGTGCCTACACGATTTCAAATATTTATTAAAAAATCATTTAAATATTTTCCCAAGTATATAGTAATCATAAGCTCACAACAACAAAGTTGGAAAGACCGTGGGGACAAGGTTGGAAGTCGTTGATTCAAGGTTGGATTGGTGCTCTATTTTTTTAAGGTTTATTTGTTGCTGTGTCGTACTTTTTCATTTAAATAATACTTGTGTGAGTGTTGTGTGGGTTTTGAGAACTTTGATTGTTTTGTTGTGGTGGGCAGAATTATTTTGGCTTCTAGGACTGACTATTACTTCTAATCTCTCGCATGTTCAATAAAAAGTTTTGTTCTCTAAGAGAGTGAGACCATTTGATTATACGAGAGCTAGGAGCGGGGACGGCCCAAGGGGGGTGCCGGGTGGGGGGCCTAGGCCAAAAAAATGAAAAAAATTTAGCTCAGGTTTAACTCTTTATTATCGGCGGGAGTAGGCTGATTTTTCAGACCTAAACTAATATTGTTTCGGGTTGAATGTTTCAAGGTGCTTCCAGGTGGTTTTTTTAATATTTATGAGTATGTCCTGTATAAAGTTTAGATTATGTCCATAAAACTTCAATTTAAATTCAATATAGAAATCAGCTAAATAATTATTGAAAAACATTGCGCTTTTATGCATATTTCGGCACAATTGTATTCAATAATTTATTTAACTGACTTCTCGAATAAATGTTCATCTGAAATTTTGTGGACATAATCTTCACTGATGAAAAACATATTCAACAAAATTTCATAAAAAATCCCACTTGGAAGCATATTAGTCTAATATGATTATTTGATTAGTCTATTAATTGATTTCATTCATAGTTGATTGTTGGATTTCATGATTATTGATCGTTATCTATTGATTGTTGGTTCTATAATTTGTTGATGTTGTTAATAAATTTCAAGGTGTGATAAAAAAGATTGAACCTGGATAGGATAAAGAAAAAAAGAGGAGAAAACTAGTGAAAGCGGCACTAAGTAAAAAAAATCAATGGAAAAGTTTATTTTTATTAAAAAGTCAAATTGTGAATGTCCCCCTCAAGATGAGAACTCAGAAAAGAAGAATGATTTAACTACAGAAAATGAAATGATTTAGAATGGTCACATCATTCATTGGAGGGGGGGAATTTAGGAGTTGATAATGCTTTAATAAGAAAAAAAACATTGGTAAAGTGCACAAATATAACCACCATTATTTTCTTCCTAATTAAGAACCAACAATACTATAATATTATTTGTTTAGATAAAAGAGTTTTTATATTTTTTTATGAATGTCTTGAAATATTATTATTATGTATGGATGGACTCGGGCCGGGTGGCCCGACCCGGAACCGGCCCGGGACCGGTACTGTTCCGGCCCGGCCCGACCCGGTGGCCCGGTCAGTGACCGGTCCGGGTAGGCCCGGCACGTGGGTTTTCCGGTCTGGGCTCGGGTCACCCAAAACAAGGCCCGACCCGGCCGAGCCCGGGCCCGGTTCGGGCCAAAAACTATTTTTTTTCTTTTTTTTTCAATTTTTTTTAAATTTTCGGGTTGAGCTGGGTATTTTGGGCCATTTGGGGTGGTTTGGGGGGTTGGGGGTGGGAGGGGGTTAATTAAGAAGAGGAAAACAAAAAAAAAATATAATGGGCCCGGCCCGGCCCGGACCGGACCCGGTGGTTACCCGGGCCGGTCCTGGGTCCACCTTTTCTGACCCGCAGGCCCGCCCGGGCCTAGGCCCGGCCCGGACCCGGCCCGGACCCGAGTCCATCCCTATTATTATGCATGTTATCAGTTGAGTGATGGTGTTATAATTTGTTGATTGCGTTAAACTAAAATGTTCAAATACAATTAAATTTATGAAGTCAATAAATTTCAAAGTGTGATAAAAATGATTGAATCTGATAGGTTAAAGAAAAAAGAGGAGAAGGATAGAGAAAGCGGCACTAAGTAAAAAAATCAATGAAAAAGTTTGATTGAATAAAGAAAGCAAATATTGAATGTCCTCAAGATGGAACTCAGAGAAGAAGAATGACTTAGTTGCAAAAATTGAAACGAATGATTACATAATTGGAGGGAAATTTAGTACGGAGTAGTTGATAATGCTTAAATAAGACCAAAGCATTGGTAAAGTGCACAAATAGAGTCACCATTATTTTCTTCCTAAATAAAAGCCACCACTACTATAATATTAGTGATTTAGATGGAAGAGAGTTTTAGAGTTTTTTTTTTATAAATGTCTTGAAGTATCACAGAGTATTATTACTATTATTTTGCATGTTAATTTAGACATAAAAGATTATTAATTCTTTTAAAGATTAGACCCATTTTAATTATCCGCTCTTAGGCTTGAAAATGAGAGATGTATTGCCTTGAAAAAAGCGTTATACGGAGTAGCTACCAATAATGTAGCTGTCTTTCAAAGGAAACTTCATGCTGGAGTGACTAAGTGCCCGTTTGATAACCATGATTTTTTTGCTTTTCAAGCGTATAAGTCAACTTTTTCAGAAAATACGTAACTTTTGTTTTACAGGCTAGATTATGTAATAATAAGAAAAAGTAAAGTTGAAGTTACTTTTCTAGCTGTATTGACTGAAGTTAGTGTAGATAACCATTTTAGCTATTTTTTCATACTCCCTCCTCCGTCTCAATTTACTTAGCCATCTTTGACTTTTCTAGTCAATGATGGTAAACTTTGACCAATTATTTAAACTAATATATTTATGCAAAATTTAATAATTTTATACTTTTATGATAGTATTTTTAACAAAGAACATTTTCATATCATTTTAATATTATTAATACTTTCTCTATATAAATATATAATCGGTCAAAGTTAGACTTCATTGACCTGAAAAGTCAAGAAGTAAAATGGGACGGAGGGAGTATAGTTTTTTATTTATTTTATTAATAAAATTTATTTTAAATAATTATTTTTCACAAATCAGCAGAATCAGCCAATACAGCCACATCAACCAGAACTTCATAAATTTCAGCAGAATCAGCTAATACAACCCATTTGGCTATTACCAAATGGGCTCTAAATGGTGTAACATAAAATAATAATGACATTAGCAGTATGATATTTTTGTTATTTACGGAGTATTTTATCTACAGAATTTCCAATTAAGATACATTAACAACATTGTTTGATGTTACTATTTGTAATATGCTTATCAACATACAATATTAATTCATATGAACTCATGAGGAAAGAACTTGAATCAAAAGCACACCTTATTGCCTTTACAATATTAATCTCTAGCTGTGATCTAGCTTGCAATTTGTTTATTTTACGTACCATCCCTAACCTTAATACCTCTTCTAGTGGGATGAGGAGAACATTTTTAGAGAAAATTATCCTATGTATGACTAAAACTTCATTAGTGAAAATTATCCATAGGGAAAGAACACTCCCAAGTCACTGGTTCCTTTAAGATATCTAAAGATATTTTTGATACCGTTCCAGTGACGCTGTGTAGGCGCAGAACTAAATCTAGTTAACAAATTTACTGAGAATGCTATATCAGGTCGAATGCATTGTGCTAAGTACAATAATGCGCCTATTGCACTTATAATTAGGTATGAAATTTCAGCTCCCAATGCCTCATCGTCATCTTCCTTTGGACGAAATGGATCCTTTTTAGGATATGGACTTCGGCCCACCATGAGAGTTCTAGCAGGGTGCGCTTTATCCATGTTAAATCGCCCGAGCATCTTTTGGATATACGCAGACTGGTGGATTAATACTCCACAAACTCAATGTTCTAGTTCAAGACCTAAACAAAATTGAGTTTTCCCAAGGTCTTTCATCTCAAACTCAGATTTCAAATAGCTTACGGTTTCTCTTATTTCGTCAAGAGTGTCGATTATGTTCATATCATCGACATATAATGCTATGATTGTAAATCCGGAACTCGTTTGCTTTATGAATACGCAGGGGCAGAGTTCATTGTTCTTGTATCCCTTCCTAATCAAGTAGTCACTTAGGCGGGTATACCTCATCCGTCCGGATTGTTTTAATCCGTAAAGTGAGCGTTTAAATTTTATTCCAAACGCACTTCGTGGTTTAGAGTCACTTTATTTAGGTAGTGAAAATCCGTCAGGTACTTTCATATATATCTCTGAATCATGATCTCCATAGAGATATGCAGTAACAACATCCATCAATTGCATTTCCAATCCTTCAGAAACTGCTAAGCTGACTAGGTATCGGAACGTGATAATGTCCATTACGGGAGAGTAGGTCTCCTCGTAGTCAATCCCAGGGCGTTGTGAGAAACCTTGCGCCACTAGGCGAGCCTTGTACCTTAAGACTTCATTCTTCTCATTACGCTTTCTGAAAAATACCCATTTATGTCCTACAGGCTTTACACTTGGTGGGGTTAGCACTACCGGGCCAAATACCTGCCTCTTTGTTAGGGAGTCTAATTCGACCTGGATTGCTTCTTTCCATTTAGGCCAATTAGCTCTTTGTTGGCATTCTGCCACAGAGCGAGGTTCGATATCATCGTGCTCTATAATTTCTTGAGCAACTGTAATGCAAATATATCATCGATGTGTATGGAAGATCTTTCCATCAACACATGTGCATTTTCATAATTCATAGAGATTTCCTTGTTTTCTAGAATCATTTCGATCATCAGAGCGTCCTCCAGTAATGATTCGTGGACATAACTATTACCGGAGATAATCTCATGGGATGGATGTTGTTCATCGATGATTAATGGATGAGTATCAATCGAACCAAGTGGTCTTCCTCTCTTCCTTTGAGGAGCCACGGCCTCAACCACACCTCCACTAAGTGTGGTTGCAGTGCCTCCTACTATGACACTGTGCCCTCCCTTGGGGACTTCTAACCTTGCAGACACATTTGCAGCTGGTATGTGTGATCTTGTCACTTTTGCAATGTCAGAAAATACATCAGGCATTGAGTCTGCTACATTTTGCAGGTCTATTATTCTTTTCACTTCACCTTCACAATGTGAGGTGCAAGGATCAAAATGAGACATTGTAGGAACACACCAGGATAATTCCTTTCGTTCTTCAAAGTGACAATCCACAAGTCTTGCGGTGAAAAGATCGCCTGTCAAAGGTTCTAGATAGCGGATTATTGTTGGGGATTCGTATCCAACGTATATACCTAATCACCTTTGAGGACCCATTTTGGTGCGATGTGGTGGTGCAATTGGCACATAGACTGCAGAATCAAATATGTGTAAGTGTGAAATGTCAAGCTCATATCGAGTTACCAATTGGTACGCAGAAAATGGTTGGTTCGTAGTGGGCCTAAAGCGAATAAGTAATGTTGCATGTAATATTGCATATCCCCATGCAGATATGGGCAAGTTGGTGCGCATAACCAACGCCCTAGCTATCGTTTGTAATATTTTGATAGTGGCTTCTGCGAGACCAGGCCATTTTGTGTGTGTACATGCGGAACATGATGCTCTATCTCGATCCCGATAGACATGCAATAGTCATCAGATGTCTTTGATGTAAACTCTACAATGTTATCAAGTCTGATGAACTTTATAGGGTGGTCAAGGTGGTGAGCCCTTAAGCAAATTATTTGTGCTAGGAGTTTCGCAAATGCAACATTTCTTGTGTACAGTAAGGTAACATGCAACCAACGGGTCGATGCGTCCACTAGAACCATAAAGTATCTAAATGGTCTGCATTCTGGATGGATCGGTCCACATATGTCTCCTTGAATTCTTTGTAAGAATGTGATGTTTTGTTTTGTATCTTTCGCATAGGATGGTCTCGATCATGTTTTTGCTAAAGAGCAGGCTTTGCAGAATGAGTTTTGTAGTGTGGACATAGTTAGGGAAGCATGGGCTAGTTCTTCTTGTGCTTTGAAAGATAATTGTCCTTGTGGAGGATCCGCATGGTTGACAGTTTGTACTGTGTTGACTTTTCGCCCTTCTTTATTCCTTTCTCGAAAAAAAGCATGTCCATGTGAATTCTTTAGAATTCGAATCATCATGTCACGACCGGGGTGTCCAAGACGATCATGCCAAAGGCTATACGAGTCTATGTCCAACATTTCATTGTTGGAGATCGCATATGATTCGAAGATTCAAATAGTAGTGACATAGAGTCCACTAGATTGACTTATTAATTTCTAATATGTGTTTTCTTCCGCTTTTACTAGAGGTAATATATAGGTATTCTATCACATCCTCACTATGGGTTTCAACATGAAATCCATTATCACGTATATATATTTAAAACTTAATAAAGTTCGAGTAGCTCTAGGTGCATATAGAGTATCTATGACGTGGAATGTGGTACCTTTAGGTAGCATAAATTTGGCGGTGTCTCGCCCTTGTATTACGTTCGATGATCCAATCATCGTAGTAACAGATGATTTATAGGCTACTAATTGAATAAAAAGTTTCATGTGTCTAAGGATAGTGTGGGTTGTCCCACTATCAACTAAGCATTCGAGTTCTCCTCGAGACATTCCTGTGTAAACATGCATTAGATAATTGTTGGTATATATTTGGATTTAAAAAATTGAATCCAATTATTAAAATAACAATAAGCATGTAATGTCCATAAGCAGGAAATGTAAAGGAATGGGAACAAACATAAAGTTTGTTTAAATGTCTAGTGGGATAGGGGAAAAATTAATCAAAGTTCGGTGTATCGACTGAATGGGTGGTGTTATTTTTGAAAACAAAATCCGCCACTGTGAGGTTAACATCAACCTCATTTCCTTCATCTATCACAAACTGAGATTCATGTTCCTTTGATTCTCGGTATTTCTTGTAGGCAGCAACAACTCTATTATTGGCTTGACAATTCTTATACTAATGACCTGAAACTCCGCATCTGTAGCATGGTTCTTCCTCACCTCGATCTCGTTTGACTGGAGGTTTTGATGGTGCATTATGGGCCTTGTTGGTTTGACCACTGGTCCCGTTGCTTGTATCTCTCTTCCACACCTTGGAAGATCCTCCATGGGCCGTACCTCAGCCTCCACGCCCGCCGCGATTGTTGCGCCCCCTTCCGCGATTGTTGCACCCCCTTCCATGATTAAATGTGGTTATTCTTTTATTATTATGCTCCAACCTATACGTGTTTACCACAGAAATTAAGGCGTGCCTTGAGGCGTAACATGTCCTTATTAAAATCGTTGATCTTTTTGTAGTCAACTAAGCGGATTTCATTCCACTGCACTGTCAGTTCAGGGAGCAATGTGTCAGGTATGTTCTCAAAATGACCTTTTAGTGCGTCCCGCAGTTCTTTGGGGGTTTTCAATTGTAAGTATTCCCAACGTAAGCTAGGGTCAATATGGCGTCTAAGGAACATTAACACAACAACCTTTATTTTTTCAGACGATGCATCGTCTTTTAAACTTTCGGGGTCGGCAAGCGTGGCAGAATAGTCTTTAGCCACAAAAGTGGTTTCTATGTCACAAACCCAGTGATGATACTCAAGTCCTTCTGAGTCTAGGATGTCAAACTCGGGGCGAGTTGGATCAATCATCTTAAAATATAAAATTGTATGAGTGTCATATACTACCATTTATCGCTAAAAAATGAAAATAATTGCGATTCTTTGTGTGAAAATTCTTTATCACATAAAAAATGACATGGGGTATGGTTCTTTGTAGACAATATTTTATGATGCATCGAATAGAGGAGATATATATTCATCTCCTTATAAAAATCATAGAGATTTTTATACGGTGTTATATTGTGTGTTTAACACATGAAGTATTAATATTGGTCCAAAGAATGGATTAGACATATTTAATATTTTTTTGAGAAAAAAACGAATCTAACAATTCTTTTAATATGATATATATATTCGAATAATAAAAAAAATTTGTTATATATTTTAATCAACAAAAAATGGAGCTAAAAACGAAATTAATTATCGAATTTTTCTTAAAAGAAATATTTTGAATTTAAGTAAATGGGGTTATATTTCGAGATTTTTTTTTGTAAAAACGAATGTAATAACATATAAGTGATTTAATATGCATATATTTAAAAAAAATATTGCTTCGTATATGTGGATTTCCGAAAGAGAAAAAAAATTGTGTGTTTTTTTCGTAAAATTTGTTTTTGATTTTTTTATTAATTTCGGGTGTGATATGGGATTATCTAAAAGTTAAAAACATATAAATTTTCTTCATATTTCGTTAAAAATAATTTTTATTGATGTGAACAAATGACAAGTTATTTTTTGTGAACTATGTTAAACGTAATCTTACAATTTTCAAAAAAATGACATGAAAATGTAGTCTAGAAGTATAAAGAAAAGGCAGGTAAACGGGCCAACCATATATATATACACACGTATCATTTTATTATGCGCGTAGGTGTATGCATGTGTCAATTGTATGTTATGAGTAATACATGTGCATCTAAAAATAAAATAGTAAAGTCAAGACTTGTCATATATATTCATTTAAAGTTGGCAACTTTCTAAATAGAGTGGAAAAATTGATTTCATTGATTATTTAGTATTATGATATATTTAGAAGGATATTTTTATATGTTAATAAATTTTGAAAGAAAATTCGTACTTTTCCTTTTTAGATTCTTGCCATATATGTTAATATATTCTTTGTATATTAAACTTGCGTCGCACATGATCTCAAAAGGAAGAGACTAGTCGGGAGCCTGTATGATCGGGGCAGTCACCAATCTTGCTTTCAGAGTGTCAAAAGTCTCTTTGCATTCATCGTTTAGATTAAATTCCACCTCCTTTTGTAAAAGTTTGCAAAGAGGAGATGAGATTTTTGAGAAATCCTTGATGAATCTCCTATAGAAACCGGCGTGACCGAGGAAAGAGCGGATGTCCCGTACATTTGTTGGGTACGGGAGCGTTTGAATCACATCGATCTTTGCTTTGTCCACCTCGATCCCCTTTGATGAGATCACATGCCCAAGAACAATCCCTTGTTCTACCATGAAGTGGCATTTTTCAGAGTTCAGCACAAGGTTGGATTCAATGCAACTCTTTAGTACAAGAGTGAGATGATAGAGGCAAGAGTCAAAAGAGTCCCCATGGATCGTGAAATCATCCATAAAGACCTCCATGAATACCTCCACAAATTCTGAAAAGATGCTCATCATGCACCTTTGAAAGGTGCCCGGTGCGTTGCATAATCCAAATGGCATTCGTCGGTAGGCAAAAGTGCCAAATGGACATGTGAAGGTTGTTTTCTCTTGGTCCTCCGGGGCTATTGGTATTTGGAAATACCCGGAGTAACCATCGAGAAAACAATAAAACTTGTGCCCTGCTAACCTCTCTAGCATTTGATCAATAAAAGGCAACGGAAAGAAGTCTTTCCTAGTCACCGAATTGAGTCTTCGGTAGTCAATGCAAACTCGCCACCCGTTTTGAATTCGGGTGGACACCATCTCACCATCCTTGTTTTCAATGACCGTTACTCCGGTCTTCTTTGGCACCACTTGAGTAGGACTCACCCACTTACTATCGGAAATGGGGAAGATGATTCCCATTTGAAGCAATTTGATTACCTCCTTTTTCACCACCTCCATCATGGGTGGGTTCAATCTTCGTTGCGGTTGTCTCACCGCTTTGGCCTCATCTTCGAGCAAGATCCTGTGCATGCATGTGGATGGACTAATGCCTTTGATGTCGGCAATAGACCATCCAATGGCCAATTTATATTCCTTCAAGACCGCGATCAATCTTTCTTCTTGTTCTTGGGACAGGGCATTTGAAATAATCATCGGTAGGGTGTGATTTTCACCCAAGAACACATGCTTCATATTTTCAGGGAGTGGTTTTAATTCCACCTCTGGTGCCTGCAAAACAGATGGTAGCGGCTTCTCGCTTGGAATGGTTAGTGGGAGGGCTTTAGAGCCCGGTGGCAAAAGTGGGAGTTGATTTAACTCCGCCACCATAATCTTCATGTTATTTGACATAGAGTATTCCAATGTAAAATCCTCTATGTCGTTTTCTATTGCGCTTAATGCTTCATCCTTGCCCTCAATTTCAAATACATCTTGGACCCAAGTGTCGCAAGTGTCAATCGCAAATAGAGAGTGATTATCAGTGGGGTATTTCATGGAGTCGTAGATATTAAATTCGACTTTTTCACCATCGAACTCCATGGTTAACACTCCACTAAAGACGTCAATTTTTGCCTTAGCCGTTTTCAAAAAGGGTCGGCCTAGTAAAATTGGGACTGCATTTTTATCGTTCTCCATTTCAAGAACGTAAAAATCAGCGGGAAAGATTAAATTATCCACCATGACGAGAACATCCTCTACCACACCTTTTGGGTAGGTATTGGATCTATCGGCAAGTTGGATAACGACCCCCGTCTCATGTAAAGGTCCTAGTTCTAGGGACTTATATAGAGAATATGGGATGACATTGATTGATGCACCCAAATCTAACATAGCCCTAGAAGAACTAGAATTTCCAAGTTTACATGGTATAGTGAACATTCCCAGATCACTATACTTTTTAGGCAGTTTCTTTTGAAAAACGGCCGACACTCTTTCACTTACTTGGATTTTATGCTTGCCATTCAACTTGTGTTTCCTTTTAATTGTGCAAAGTTCTTTTAAAAACTTTGCAAACCTAGGAACACCTTTTATTAAATTGAGAAGAGGGATATTTACCTCACATTTGCTGAAGGTCTCATAGATGTCTTTGTCATTGTTGTATTTCCGGTTATCCTTGAGAGCCTCCGGAAAAGGTGGTATCGGCTCATATGAGTTGAGCGGTGGGAACTTTCTTTGAGGTGTGATTTCCTCCTCCTTTTCTTCTTCATTTTGAGGGTTTGTGTTTGGCATCAAGATCTCCTCCTCCTCTTCTCCCACATGGCTCTTTGCTTTCGCCTTAGCCATAACCAACTCTTTGCCACTTCTCAGAGTGACCGCATGAGCTTGTTGCCTCGGGTTCGGCTCCGTTTGAGATGGGAGTTTTGCCGAATCCCTAGCTTCTGGCCTACTCACGGCGTTTGAGATTTGGCTCATTTGGCTTTCCAAATTGTGGATGCTAGACTTTGTGGTTTCTTGAAATTGGGCCACACTTTGTTGCATTGTAGTCATATTCATGGCTAATGCTCGAATCATGTCTTCGGTGGACATGCTTGAGTTCGATGTTTGGCCTTGTTGTTTAAATTGTTGAGGAGGGGGAGGGTTTGTTTGTTGAGGGGGTTGAGGGTTTCCGTACCTTAGATTTGGATGATCCCTCCATCCTGGATTGTAGGTGTTGCCGTGAGGATCGTACCTCCTTTGGCCTTGGAACCCCAAAGCATTGACTTGCTCGGAGTTCTCCTCTTGTAAAGTTGGGCAAGAATCTGTGGGATGCCCTTGTGTTGAACAGATGCCGCAGACCTTGACTTCTTGGGTTTTTGGATTCAAAAGGAAATCTTTAACCAAAGAAGTCAAGCCGACTACTTGACTCTCCAACGAGTTGTTGGATTCCGCTGCCATAACTCTCTTTGTTGACCGCCGATCATAGTGTCTACAATTTTCGGCCAACTCCGAGATAAGATTCCTAGCTTGAGAAGGAGTTTTGTTGACTATTCCTCCTCCACATGCAGCATTGATCATCCGTCTATCATCATCGCAAAGACCATCATAAAAGTAAAGGATGAGGTCTTGCTCTGAGTAGCCGTGATACGAACAGCTCGCACAGAGTTTCTTGAATCGTTCCCAGAATTCGTAGAACGATTCATCATCTTTTTGATCCACATTGCTGATTTGTTTCTTTAAAGATGAGGAGATGGAGGCGGGATAATACCTTTCGAGGAAGCTCTTCTTCATGGCCGCCCAAGTGTCTATGCTTCCCGAGGGAAGATAGAATAGCCAATCTTTGGCGGTGTCTTTGAGGGAGAATGAGAAAGCCCTCAACTTAATTTGCTCCTCAGTAACACCGTTCGGGCACATGCTTGTGCAAACGATGTGGAATTCCGAAAGATGTTTATTCGGATCCTCTCCTCTTAGCCCGTGGAAAGATGGAAGTAGATGTATGAGTCCGGATTTCAACTCAAATGTAGCACCCGCATCAAGAGTTGTTAAGGTGATACATAAGGGTTTGTGATTTAGATTGGGGGCTGTGAGCTCCCTTAGCGTTCTTGTTTCAAGAGCCATTGATATTGACTCCTCGGACTCGCTAGATTGAGAACTAGCACTTGAGGATTCCCCCGAGTCGGTATTTGAGAATTTATTCTTTAACCGTTCGAGAGCTTTTTCTATTTCGGGGTTTGTTTGGTAGGTGAGTTGGTTTATGGATCGGGTTTTTACCATATACTCAAACAAAGCTCAGCAAAAATAGAAAACTTTATATATTATTTTTTTTTTGATTTTTCTTTGAAATAAAATAAAAAGAAAAATTAATTGCCTTTCCCCGGCAACGGCGCCAAATTTGACGAGCACTTTTGTCAAGGTGCGTCAAAATAAATTCAATACTAAACACTTATATGTAGTATAGTGTAGTAGAGTTCGTATCCACAGGGAAAGGTATAATTCTCTTTCTATGAACTTAATGAATAAAAAAGGGGGTTTTGGTTTGAGTGATTTAATTTAATTAAAAACTAAGATGAACAACCTATATTTGTTTAATACAAGAATAAAAGGGACTTGACTTTGCTACTTTCCACTTGTTGATATATTTTAGTCGATCCTTGTTATATCTATAACTTATCCCCTCTCGACTACTCAATCGAGGAGTATCTCCAATTCATCGAGGGTAGTTATTAACACAACCGTTCATTAATAACCCTTACTATTAATCAAATATAGAACAACGCCTTATACCGATATAACAGTAGCATTCAATCTTTTTAACTCCTTGATGAAATCAATTGAGATTGATAACCTTAACACAACGGTTTCGGTTTAACCAACAAAATTGATCCCTCTTAAGTCTATTAACCACGACCGTGCATTAATAAACCGAAGTTACTTACTTGTGAAACCACCAACGATTAACCATCGGTTCGTTGATCGTTTCTAGTAGTAATTAATGTCGGAACGTTAACTAATCGTCACTTAGCAACCCTCCAACATTAATATAGAATGAGATTAAGGGAAGAATTAATAATCAAGAGAAGAAGTTAAGAAAATAACTCACAACTTTAATACTACCTCCGTTCCTAAAAATTCTTCCCGGTTTGACTTGACACGCTTATTAAGAAAGTGAAATAAAGTGAAAATGTATGGTTGTAATTATGTAACAAAAAGGTAAAATGAATGTGAGCCACACAAATTGTCCAAAACGGGAAAGTGGGAAGTATTTTTGGGAACGGTCCAAAAAGGAAAGTGGGAAGTATTTTTGGGAACGGAGGGAGTAATCAACAAGCTTCAAGAGCAAAACCAAGAATGAAAGTTTAGCTCCTCATTTGGAGGCTAAACATAGCTAGAAAAATATAAAGAAATGCTATTCTAAACTGAGCTAAAGAGATTGGAAGAAGGGATGCTTTTTAGAGGAGAAAAAGAGTGCTATTTATAGGTGTTTTTCAACACCTTTGGCCGGGTACCCGACCGGGTATAGGTACATACCCGACCGGTTACCGGTCAAAATCAGATAATCTTCCACGTTTCATTGTTCCAGCACGTTAATTTGTCCCGGGTCAAGTCAGACCCGACCGGGTCAAGTGAGGGACTCGACCGGGTTTGGTCTAAATCATATTTTTTTTTCAAAATCTTTGTGATCTTCAGCATGTTCTGGTGTTCCGGGTCATATCTGACCCGACCGGGTCGGGTATGGGACCCGACCGGGTCTTACTTTTTCTTCTTAGATCTGTTCCTCAACTGACCCGACCGGGTTCAAGGTCTGACCCGGTCGGGTTTTTGTGCTCCTGGGTCTTTTTGTCTTCAATTTTTCTCCCTTTTTCCTTGTTACAAAATCTATCACTATTCTAAAACTCCGAAAAGAAGGAGAGAACAATTACAAACAAAATAAAACAAGTACTTACAAACTAACTAAAAGTGATGGAAAATCCACACTCAGTCAACATAAAAACATACGTTTATGCACTATAAACTAGTGCATATCAGTCCCATTTAAATGTTCCCACACGGTTTAGGACGTTTGACTGATCATAAAGTTAACTGATTCTTGTCATTAGTGGAATTATTTTTAGTAAACAAAATTTACATATTCAGAAACAAATTAAAACCGCTACAAAGCCTGATTAAGAAAATTTAAATTTGATAAAAGTTGGATATAGAAAGTAAAAGATTAAGAACAATGCACGTTGACCGGAGAATAGTGGACGAGAACCTTTAAATGGGATGGAGGGGGTATTTTTTTTGTGTAAGTATTTTTTTGTATGTGGTGAAAGACGTATAAACATTATAAGCATATTAATTATTTTTTAAATGTTGTAATATTATTTTTAAAGTATTTAGAAAATCAAATAATTTTGAAAAAATTAAAGTTTTCCCGGGCCGGGCAGCCCGGTGACTACCCGACCCGCTCTTATGGGCGGGTATGGACATAGGGTTAGGCTTGTTTTTGCGGGCCGGGTCAGGCCCGCCCACACATGATGGGCAGAAAATTTATAAAAGCCCGGCCCGAGCCCGGCCCGAACCCGTTTTTGTACAGGTCTATTCCGGCCTCTTCTATTGGGATGAAGTACGTGAATATTGTTAGATGTGTTGTGATGTCTACAATTCGTGGCCACAACATCTTATCATTAAAGAGTCATACCTCTTTGTTAGATTCATGAAAACACATGTATATTTCATATTGTTATTTCGTATTCCTAATTTTCCTCATCATAAATATGGTTATAATATTTGGCATCAGCATATCATATTTCGTGAAAGTTATGTCCAAAGCCAATCTTAATTAAAAACAGAGCATTTTAAATAAGACAAATGATTTATTTATATCATGATAGAAACATTTAATTTATTTATGTGGCTTAAATACGTACGTAGTAGTATTTATTTTTCTAGCTAGAGGATGTTAGTATATATAGAATAGAGAGTCTACATACTCAAAGAGTCAAAGATATATCTCCTCAAATAACACATGCAAGAAAACATCTCTCTTTAAGAGAATGGAAAGCAAAGCAATTCAAGCGAACATCATGGGAAGCACTAACCAGTGGAGGAAGATAAAACCTAGATTTCTTTGCCTTCATGGATTCAGAACTAGGGCGGATATTCTCAAGAATGAATTGCTCCGTAAATGGGATCCAGTCATCCTAGATAAAATAGACCTGGTCTTTGTAAATGCCCCTTTTCCATGTCGGGGTAAATCCGACATGGAGGGCATTTACGACCCTCCATATTATGAATGGTACCATACTAATAAGGTCTAGCTTATTTCTTTTCTCATGATAATAACAATATCAATCTACTCTTTTTGTCTTCTTTAGGTAAGATTTTCATTTGTAATTTAAAATATAAAAATGGGTATCAGGAAATGACTCAAGCACATGAAAAAGTGAATGAATGTATTACATATATAGAAGATTGCATGATCAGATATGGGCCTTTTGATGGTCTTCTTGGGTTCTCCCAGGTCAGCCCCGCCATTTCTTTCTTGCAAATGTATTAGTGTCCAGCTGTCCACAAATTTCATATTTCTCTATATGAAGATGAGTTATATATTATGGAGTATAAGGTTTAGTGGGATTTTTTTGTTAACATTTTACAGGGAGGAATAATGGCAGCAGTCTTGGCTCTCTTACAAGAAAAGGTATACAACTTTCTTTAATTTATTTGAAAGGACAAGTATATATATTTAATTAATACTGTTCATTTTTAGTTATACATCTTGAACTTTTCTAGTGAAAGATGCTAGACTGACCGATTATACGGAGTATATTTTTATATGAAAGTATTGATATTTTTTTTAAAATAATACATAGTATCATAAAAGTGTCCCGCTAACATTAGTACAAGAGGAAGCGACACGATTACTAAGAAAAGTAAGTTTATGTTAGGAGGGAGTGAACAATACGTAGTAATGAACCGTAAATTAATTAATTATTTTAGTAGTAGACTAGTAATAATGTTTTCATAACCCAAGAAAAGGTTGACACATCATAGATTTTTTATTCAGTTTTATAATATAAGACAATAGATTTAATCGTTTGATCTTTAAAATTTCAGAAATATTTTATATTATAGTCTTTAATTTATTCAAAATTATCTAGGTATGTTTTTCTAATATTGTGCATCAGTTTCACTCACTATATAGGTATATTAAAAGATTTTTAATTACTATTCTTACTATGTAAAAGAGGTAGCATTCCAGCCTAGCTGGTTGTGAGGATACCGTACCTAGTGGGAGGTCTCGAGTTCGAAACCCGCTAGACACATAAGAGTTTGAAGATAAATGGAGTGAATTTCAGCCCTGATTTCTCCAGGCCCCAGCCCCCAGCCCCAGACCCCTGGAGTAAAAAAAAGTAGCACAGTTGATTGTCTATTTTATTATTGTTTTTTCATCATCATCATACTGTCATAATTATATGTACTTTGTAAAATTCGTTGTTGACTTTTGGATAAGCCCTAATAATATATATTGAAATTGGTCAATATAGGAGTAAACATAAACATAATTGCACAAATAAGAGTAAAACTTAAAACTTTCTTCAATAGGAGTAAACATTAATTTTGTACCCTTAATATCCCTAACCTAGTTTATTCTAAAATATGACTTATTTAATCTTAACCTAGTTAATTTATGACTTATTCGATAATAATATTTTATTTATTCATTTATTTTTCAAAAAATAAAAAAAAATATATTTTTTTTTTAAAAGTACAAAACTCAAAAAAATAAAATAAAATTCACCGCCACCTCTGCACCACCACCTCCAGTCACCAGGGGAAAAATGCCAAGTTCATTACGAATGCCATATTTATGGCAGAAAATAATGAAAATGTTGGCATTCGCAAAGAGAAATATGTCATGTTTTTGACATTTTCAAAAAAAAAATGGCAGTTTTTAGGAAAAATGAAATTTTTTTCACCGCCCGGAGGTGGTGGTGCAGGAAGGTTGTACAGGCGGTGGGAAAGACATCCATATTTCTTTTAATTTTTTTATGGAGTTTTATTATTTTTTATTAATTTTTTAAAAAACCAAAAAATTTAAAAAAAAATTAAAATTTTTTATTTTATTAATATTTTATAAATTTTTAATTATTTTTCTACGAATTTTTGATTTTTTCGAATTTATTATGAATTAAACATTTAATTAAAAGTTGTTGGGCTTAGGGCTTGGGTAGGGGTATACTTGTCCCAACACTAAAGTTACTCCTATTCAAAACATGATACTCCTATTTTTGCATTTTGCTTATGTTTTGCTCCTATATGGGGGATTCTCTCTAATATATATTATCTTTATGTATTACACACCATCAAAACTCTTACTTTGTTTTAAATCCACCGTATGTTTTTCAATTGACGTGATTGATGATGTTTGTTATTTTTGTTAACCAATATGAAATTGACACATCAATCATTTATAATTCAGTTTTATTATACTCCATACGTTTCAATTTGATTTGCACAATTTCCTTTTTTGTTGTCCCAAAATGATTTTCCAATTTCTATTTTAGGTGTGTAAATAAGAATAAAGTGACAAACTTACCCTTACTTTTACTTTTTCCCCATTAACTTAAAGGCATCTACTTTTAAAAAGATGTACAAAAGTGTAAAAAGCAAGCATCATTTATTGTCATTTCTTAATCCTTGTGCTGGTCAAAGTTTGCAATTCAATTCGGGACGGAAGGAGTATAAAAGAATAGATTAGAAAGAGGATTTAAACTTCATTCTTGTTCACAATTATTATCAGAGGATTAATTTCGTTTTTATTCTAAGTTTCTTCCCATGTTCTTTCTTGTTTCATTCTTAAAAAAGTAAAGATGCAAAAAAAGCGGGGGAAAACAAGTATTTTTAAGGAGTACCCTTAATCAAATGATAATGGCGCATACCAGTATAACACCTGAATTGAAGATATGAAATACAACTGTACAACAGAACTAGTAGGAAATGTGTCACACAAAATAGAGATGGAATGGAGAAAAATAATTTAAATAGTCTAAATGTTAACTTTAATGAGGTGTGAGGTACGTCCTCAAACTTGCATATGTAATTTATATACCTTGAACATTTTATATATATATATATATATATATATATATATATGGGATGTTTCAAATACAAAGACGTCTTCCAATGCAAAGTGAGAATGAATCTTGTGCATTCATTTTCACATATAATGGTTCAAAATGAGCCAAAAATGCATCAAATTCGACCAAAATCGCGGTGGCAATTTCGTAAATATATTGCACTTTTTCGTTAGCACAAAAAAGTGCTAACAGAAACACACAAAAGTGCAAGAGAAACATGCAAAAGTGCATATCTTCGCACTTTGCACGGAAAGAGGTCTTTTTATTTGAACTCTTCCCTATATATATATATATATATATATATATATATATATATATATATATATATATATATATATAGGGATGAGATCAAATAAAAAGAGGTTCTCCCGTGCAAAGTGCAAACGGTTGCACTTTTTCCTCACCGCGTTGCACTTTTGCGTGTTTCTGTTGCACTTTTTCGCGATTGCAAAAAACTTCGTTTTAATTACGAAATTGCCACCGCATTTTTGATCAAATTTAGTTCACTTTTGGCTCATCTTGAGCCATTAGATCTGAAAACTAATGCACGAGATTAATTCTCACTTTGCATGGGAAGACCTCTTTGTATTTGAACCATCCCATATATATAAATTGGGAAGAGATCAAATAAAAAGAGGTTCTCCCGTGCAAAGTGCGAACAATTGCACTTTTTCTTCACCGCGTTGCACTTTTGCGTGTTTTTGTTGCACTTTTTCGAGATGGCAAAAAACTTCGTTTTAATTACGAAATTGCCACCGCGTTTTTGATCAAATTTAGTTCACTTTTGGCTCATTTTGAGCCATTAGATCTCAAAATGAACGCACAAGATTAATTCTCACTTTGCATGGGAAGACCTCTTTGTATTTGAACCCTCCCCTATACATACATATATATATCGGGAAATTGACAATATTCATCCCGTAACTTAGGCCATTATCATTATTAGTCCCGTAATTTTAGTCACTTGCAAATTCGGTCCTCTAACTAATTAATATTTGCGATTTAAGGACTTTTACCCTGAAAAGTACATTTTCCGGCAATAGCATAGCAGAAAAGAGGTCGCCGGCGTTTGACTTTTCCGCCGGAAAGTGTACTTTCCGGTGGGAAAGTCCTTAAATTACAAAGATTTATTAGTTACAGGACCAAATTTGCAAGTGCTTAAAGTTAAAGGACCAAAAACGATAACAATCCAAAGTTAGAGGACTAAAATTGCAAATTTCCCTATATATATAGGGAGCGGTTCCGGTAAGAACGGATCTTAGGAGAGAAATGAGAACGAATCTGGACCGTTGGATTGAATTATGTGGAACTGAATTGTGCATTTGGTGAAAACGAAATGTGCATTAGATGATATTGAAATGTGCAGAATTAAAATTTAAACTCAGATGTGCATTAGGTGAAACTGTTTTGTGTATTTTAAATTATGTACTTAACACCATAAAATCTCATTGATCAAAAAATATATGATCATGATATATGTTAATATAACTTTTTATATAAAGTTTGGGGGATATATATTATATGTACAAATTTAGAGTACTTATCTCACACGCATTCAAAGTTTTCGATATTTATTAAGTTATTTCCCATGTATCAGATTTTACAGTGTGAACTTTTATTTGTTACAAATAATTTTTTATAGATAATATAATACGGAGTACTCTGTATCACAGAAAAAATTAAGGTTTAAATATGTTTTTAGTCTCTCCAAGTAAAATATATTTTGTTTTACATGCCTACAAAACTGTTTTTTTTGCATCTTTGAAATATTTGTTGATTTTATTTTTAGTCCATCACTTATTATAACAACTCTCGTTTGACCTCGAAAAAAACCTGACTAGTAGTCGTTCTCCAATTCTTTGTCATGCTATTCAAAAAGTATTTGATGAGTTATTATTTTTTTAGAAGGTTTTTAATACACATTTTCAAAATGTGAATAATTAGTACGGAGTATTACATTGTTTTATCTGTCTTATTAGACTCAAAAAAATATAAAAGGATACATTTAAATGTTTCTAGTAGATTCATGCAACTAACAATATTTTTTTTTCTAAGTGGTGCATATTACAGGAGTGAAAACAAAAAAAAAAGTTACTACATATTAGAAGATATTAGAAGGGCCCTAAAAGAAAATGTGCTATATTAACAGGGTTCAGAAATATATTTAAGCTTAAATTAATTAGTAATCTAGACTGAAAAATTGATTGTACGGTACCCCTGCCTTTTTAATTCACAAAATATAAATTATTCAAAAAATAGTGCATATTACACTTTGTAATATTTTTCTAGACAAATGATTGTCATTAATAAGTGACCATTAAGATTGAGATTTCTTGAATTCATCTATTTCACGAGTCTTGAAGAAATATTAAATTATATATCTCATAAAATCACTAAAAAAAGCACTGAATTTGTCACGAAATTTGTTAGGGATGACATTGTAAAAAATTTCTAACAAAGTTTTGTTAGGGATATATTATATCCCCGACACCAGCGCCATGACAAATCTTTGTTAGTGATATGATGTCCGTGACTAATGTGGTTAGGATTTGTCACGGAAAAATCCATAACCATGTACCGATCATCCGGCGGCAAACTTTTTTTTGACAGTAGGCGGCGAACTTTGTTAGGGATACAAAAATATTACACATTTTTTAATTATGTAATTTTATCAATCTTGGACCTGAAAGATAAACGAATTATCAGTCTGGGACCTGAAAGCTGATGAAATGTATCAGTATATGACTCGAAAGATGAAAAACTATCGATCTAGGGCCTAACATTTCATAGGTTTTGATTTATTTAATTTTTTTATTAATTCCATTGCTAATATTTGTAAAACTTTCCTCATAAATTTTATTAGTTTAATAAAACTAAATATTATTTAAATTTTTTAAAATAAAAAAAAATTATGAAAACTTAGGTCCTAAGTTGATAGTTTTCAATCATTCGGGTCCTAGATTGATAGTTTTCCATCATTTGGGTCATATACAGATACATTTCATCTTTCAGGTCCCGAATTGATAGTTCATCTATCTTTCAGATCCTAGACTAGATTGATAAAATTCCTTTAATTAATTATCCAAAAATGTGAGGAACGTACTTAGTTTGATTAGTAATATTTTTTTAATTCTAATTCCTAGTCATCTACCCACCTCTTCCCCTTGTCCCACTATACTTGCTCCAGACGCATCTATCTTCAGTTGTCGTAAACTGCCAACACTAGAATTTTTCACAGTTTTTTTTTAATTTTCACCATAATTTTTTTCCCCTAGTCACCTTTAGTCCTATATATATGGATTAAGGTGTGAGTCTACTAGGAAATTTATTTGAATTAAGTTATTTTTTTATATGGGACTATTTATTTTATTAGTAAAACAAACTTTTAGCTTAGACATGAGACTAGGAGTGATTATGTAAAAAAACTTTTTTAAATGAGAGTGTTTATTTTATTATGTAGCATGTTTTTCAGTTAGATATGATCTTTTCATGTATGTTTTTATCGGAAAGTGTACTCTCCGATGGAAGGGTCCTTCATACGGATAAATTTATTAGTCATCACATGATAAAATCTATAAGTGAGTAATTAAAATTGCGGTACTAATAGAGATCTTTATTCAAAATTGTGATACTAAAAAGTAAGGGCATGTTTACTAACAGAGATATTTTCCGGTTTTCTATTTCTTTTTTCCGTTCTCCAATTTTCTGTTTTCATTTTTCACTTTTTCTTTCTCCAATTTTCTGTTTTCATTTTATAGTTTTCCATTTTCAAATCTGAAAACATGTTCATCAATTTTTTTCACCCAGTTCAAGAAGATTGAAACTACGGTCCCATTCTGAAATCAAACCTAGTACAACCCAAGTATGTTATTAGGTCCCACGTATAGGAAAGTCAGCACCGAAATCAGTCGGGACCAGTCGATCTCAACGGTTAGTTTGATGAATTCTTTTCCCATTTCCCTATTGGTTGACAACTCAACAACTCTTTTAAAACTTTTCACTTTAAAAAGTGATTTCAAATAACCAAGACTGAACCGCCGGGTCATTGACCGGCCCAGACAGGGACCGCCGGGTCATTGACGGGATTGGCCCGGGACCACCCGGTTGTCCATCTGATCGAACACAAACCATCGGGTCATTAGCCGGCCATGATGGGGACCACCTGGTCGTTGGTCAGAGAGGACGAGGATCACCATGTGGTTGACCAGATAGGACGGGGACCGCTAAGTCATTGATGAGACCGAACGGAGACTGCCGAGTCATTGACCAGATTGGATCGGACCGGGACTACCCGCCCATCAACGAACTGAGCAGGTACCGCTTGATCGTGGATCGAGCTCGATACGGATCGTTGGGTCATCGATCAGACCGGACAATTAGGTCATGGACCGGACCCGACAGGGACCGCTTGATCGTGGATCGGACCGGACAGGTGGGTTATGGACTGGACGGGACAGGGATCGCTGGGTCGTGCACCAGACCAGTAAGAGACCATTGGGTCGTCGACCGGATCGGGACCGTCGGGTAGTCAACCAGACCGGATTGGGATTGCTCGACCGTCGACCGGACCGGATAGTGACCCCCGGGTCAATGACCGAACCGGACCGCAGGGTTGTTGACCAGACCAGATAGGGACTGTAGGGTCATTGACCGAACTGGAACTGGCACCGAAGCGGGATGGGATGCACCACTAGGTGTAAGTATGCAAATTCATTGTTGTGGCACTGAAGCATCCACGTTTTCCAAATTTGGAAAGCTAGTAAAAGTCACTTCTCCAATTCATTAAGGAAAAGAGAGATATCTCATTTTTTCGTTTTTGAAAATGATTTGCTAAACGCAGTTTTCCGTTTTCTTTTCTCTAGTTTTCCAGTAATTTTCTTTGGTAAACATGTTTTCTGTTTTCCTTCTTCCAGTTTTTCAGTTTTCTAAAAATCTGGAAAATATCTCTGTTAGTAAACTTTTCTCCCTGTTTTTAAGAAAATCTTCCTTAAAGAGTAAGTATTCACTAATCCAGATTATTATACTTTTGTAGAATTACTTTTCATGTTGAATAATTGGCCTGGATAGAATCTATTATTTATAAATTGTTAACATAATTTTTTCTAATTTTTAATTCAATTTAGTACCCCCAGAGAAGGTAAAAAATATATTATACTTTTGTGCCGGCTTAAACCTCTCATTAAAAAATGTACAATTATTCAAACAATAATTAAATAAGGTTATTTAAATACATTTTCAGAAGTAGCTTTGATGATATATAATATAATGATGTTATTGGCGTTAAATGTGATGTATAGGTGTATTATTTTTAATATTTGACGATTAATTTAAGTTGTCATTGAAGTGTTATTTTTTTTTTAAATTTAAATTGGACCACCTTTAGTTGGGACATCCAAAAGTGATAAATGAGAGACTTAAGATGAGACGGTGCGAGTATGTGGAAAGTCATGCAAGAACACTACTATGCTTAAAACATGTTCATCCCTCAATTATGCTTCTACTTAGAAATCGCGAGTTTTAAGGTTAAAAAAATGGAGATTTCCCAAAATAAGAGTAAATGAAGGTTGGAATTCCAAAATAGTACTACTATGTTTTTATCCCCGAAATAGGATTAACATGTCAGTATTTACTGTCGTCTTGTAAACGTGACTGTCAAATAGTTGCAGTACAATGCATTTTATATGACAGTATATATTATAATTAATGACAGTAATTTTCAATCATGACAGTATTTTTCATACATGGCAGTAATAACTCTTATTTCAGGAAGAAAAACATAATAGTCCTATTTTGGAATTTCAAACCTCATTTACTCCTATTTAGGGTAATTTCCCTAAAAAAAATCACTGACTTTCCAAATAATACATACTCCAAAGTATTAAAGAGAAAGTGAGTAATTAATTTACTATTCAAAGGGGTAAAAATGTTTTATTATCCAAATATTATTAAAAGCGGAAGTGTGAACTTAATTTTGAGACAATTTATATAGGAAAGTTGCACCTTTATTTATGGGTGAGGCTAGAATTATTTAAAGATTATTCATGAATCAGTTAGGCTATTTGTTAGAATATGTAAGACATAAACGTGATTTTAAATCAAGTCATACCTACTGGTAATATATTCATTATACTTTATATACTCCCTCCGTCCCTCTATTATTGTCTCATTTCCTATTCATTTGGTCAACACAAATCACTCTTAATCTCTTACTTTATTGATCAAAATTTTATCAAATTTGATTCTGGTTTTTGCGACTTTGTAAAACTTTTAATGTAGTTTCTAAATATGCAAAAATTTTTTCTAAAAATAATTCTAGTGCAGACAGGGATCTATTTGCTTTATCGTCAGTCAAGTATCGTAAACCGCAATGAGACAATAACAGAGGGACGGAGGTAGTAATAGTTATTATAATTACCTCTGTATAATACTCCGAATATAATTAGTTATTATAATTACCTCTGTATAATACTCCGAATATAATTCTAAGATGCTATTAATTGTTATCATCAGATGAGCAAACTCAATGGAAGAATGATTGTTTAGTTTTTATGAATTAATGTATTTTTAACAACTACCATGTTCATGCTCGTAATATATAAATAGTTTTATATCATCATGTTTGCACTTTTTGTATAAAAAGTATACACATATTCCTCATGAGACGATTTTTTCCTCAGAAAATGGAATTTTATCCATCACCCACGTAAGGTACGAGTTGGTTGAATAGTTAATGAATAAACCGTAGGATTACTATATTTTTTTTTTTAAAAAAAAGGATGACACCCCATCCCTGAGGGCCCCCCAACCCCGACCGGATAGTACGTTGAGAGGATGTAAATTGGACTATAATCTCAATCTGACAGATAGAGAGTGAGGCTCTGTCCCGATACTTGCAGAGGCTCTATGCATTTTTTAGCATAGTAACTCCTCATCACAGTTGCCGGGATTCGAACCCGGGACCTAACCCTTGTGGCAATCTCTTGCTACCGGTTGAGCTAAGCTCACCGGTGTAGGATTACTCTTTAGAGATTTATACCTGTTGGAATGACAAATTACAATTTGGCTGGGTTATTTAAAGATTGTATATTTGGGCAGGATTTGGCTCTGACCAAAATTCCAAAGATCAAGTGTGTGATAATAATTGGATGTGGGAAAATAAAGGACAAATCAGTAGCAGAGAAAGCATATGGTTCGCCAATCACGTGCCCATCTCTTCATTTCATAGGGAAGGAAGACGACTACATAAGGGAATCTGGGATACAACTCCTCCAATATTTTGTTGATCCTATTGTCATTCATCATCCCAAAGGCCACACCATTCCCAGATTTGGTAAATTTATGAGTTTGACCACTTAGCCATGAATTTGGTGATACATTGAGAGCAATAATTTAAGACATGTACTAGCTTAAGGATGTTTTACTTTGACTCGTCTCCGTTCGAGCCAAGAACAAACCAGATCAGATTTAATCAGACAAGACTAGATCAGAATAGACTTTGACAGTTGTAAAAGACACATACATTATATATCTTTAGACCAGACCAAACTTAAACAGATCAAACCATATTATACCAAATCATATCAAACCATAAAATTTCAGCTCAATTAAAAACATCCGAAATGGACCATTTTTCAGTTCAATCTATATATGAACTCATCTACATCTATATCATAAATATCTTGAAAGTGGACTCCTAACAATTTCTACCCAAGCCGTTTGCTGATCATCATCTCTATTTCCTGTTTTTGATTTTTTTTTTCAGATGAGAAAAGTTTGGGAGAAATGCTTTCCTTCATCGAGAGGATTGAAAGGGATATCAACGGAGCAGAAAAATTCTCCTTAGGGCATAAGTCCATGTTATAAAAAGCTCTAAAATCAATTTGTAGCTATGGATGTTGCAATGCGGGCGCAGCACTTATGGAACGTAAATGGGAATTATGAAATGAAACTTTGTAATAATAAATAGGTGACAACTCCGGTATCCATTTAAAAAATGGAGTATCGTACCTACCATTCATTTGATTAGTTCAAATCATTACATCATTTTTAATTTAGATTTAAATAATTCAACTACATCATTCTGATTGGTCCATATGAACAAAGGTATGGTATTTTAAGGGTACCATAGAATCTACCTAATAAATAATGCATAATGATTGAATGAAAATAAAGTCAAGACTTTTTATTTGATATTTGATGGATAATAGGGGTATGAGATTATATGTTCTTGGAGAGATTTAGAGCTAGAGAGTAGATGAATGTGTAGTTAATGAATATTGATGAAGAATTGGGAAAGTTTCCGAAATACGACTAAAACAGTTTGAAAATTCCAAAATAGGAATGTGATGTTTTTTATTTCCAAAATAGGACTAATTACTGTCATGTTTAGAAAATACTGCCATGTTTGAAGTCTGGTACTGCCAAAACATGACAGTAATTAGTCCTATTTTGGGAATAAAAACATGTCAGTCATATTTTGGAATTTTCAAACTGTTTTAGTCCTATTTCGGGTAATATCTCTGAAGAATTAGGTATACAAGAGGCTCTCAAGGGAAGCATATAGAGAAAGAGCTAGTCATGCCACTATATGGGTCCAACAGGCCTAACTATACGACTAATCTAATAGATACAAATGAATAATAAAATGTACGATAATATACAGAGTAAATGACATCTGCTAAGTGTTGGTGAGCCGTTATTCAGACTCAATAATCGTGAGACCGTGGATCCGAGTCTATATACTCTATCCAGGGGCGGATCCACCTCTTAATCAATGGGAGCACATGCCCCCAATAAAATTGGAGTTTAACCTATATTTTCATGATTTTTTAATAATGCCCCCAATAAAAATTATAGTGTGCCCCCCCATTAAAATGTCCAGTGTGCCCCCATTAGTTTTTCATTTCCTTACTTGCTTCTAAATTTTTTTTAGTTTATATAGTGTGTGTGTGTATATATATATATAATTATAGACTATTAGACTAGCATTATTTGAGCTTGAAATTTAAAACAAGTTAAGGTGTTTTGATACTCCTTTTGCTTTTTTTTTATTTGTTTCTTTATTTTTTACACCTCTATTTAGTTCATTTAATCTTTTTTGGGAATCAATTCTCCATTTGATATAATTTGTCTCTCTTCTAAACAAATTTCAACAAAAACGTTTTCACTGAAAGTTACGTGACTAAAATTGCAAACCTCACATCTATCAAAATAGAGTCATATAAAAGTTATATAAGATGGATTTCCTTAAGCAACACATAACTTTTTATTAACGTACAAGTGAATTACTACAAAGGTAGTTTATCACAATTAGAATAATGTACCTAGATAGAAACATGGGTAAATTAAATGACTCTATAATAAGTCCATATTTCAACAAGCAGATGCGTGTTGGGATAGGTTTATGCCAACTTTCCTAAATTAAATGTGTCACAAAGCACATAATTAACTCAAGTAGTAGTTTATCGGGTTTTGATTTGTGTTTGGTATATTAAAAATAAAATCAGGAAATTAAGTCTGCCATCAGAATTTGAGAATTATTTGGGATAAACTGAGATGCATTTGAGTTTGAGAGTTTGAGCATTAAAGGTTTACGAGGCACTAATGAGGCATTGTTGAAGTCAAAGAAGTTCAAGGATCAAGTACGGGAACAAACGTGGATGCAAGGTTGGCACTCGGTCGATCGTTTGAACATATCTTTTCGCTAAAAAACTTCAAATGAAATGATTCAAGATTCCTATGAAAGATAATTCAATGGGCTACACATCATATGACGACACCATGACGAGAATGTGAGATGATCAAAATGAAAATAGATGAAGAAGTCAGATTACTGTTTTAGAGATATCAGGATGCGACATTCCACCATATCATTCATATCTTTTGATTGAACGGTCCAACTCCAGATTTTAAAGTTGTGGTGGAATTGAGTAGATACAACTTTGCTGAAAGGACCATAGCCAAATTCGGGAGGGAGGTGTGCACTCCGTGCGCGGGAAGCGTGCACGCTGTGCGCGGGAAGCAAATTTTTGGCGAAGCTACTGGACACGCGCGCGCCGTGGGCACTTTCTGTTTCGCCCCAAAAATCCCTATTTCTGCCCAAATTGCTACTTTTTCTATTTATACATCCCGTAAACCCCGATTTTAGTGTACGAAGGTAACAGAGCTTATAGAGAGAGCCTAGAACAAACTTTCTTGTGGTTTTCAACCTTAATTAGATTATCAAGATTATGGTTTATTTGTAATTTCTTTTTTTTATTTAATGACAATTAATTCTTTCCTTCTCAATTTTGTTGATCTTTCAATTATGAATTTTGAGTAGATTTAATCAGGGATTGAGATTGATGAAGGAGGTATTAATCATGATCTAAGTTCCGTTCTTGATGGTTTAATCACATGATTATTGTTTAACTTAACTTGTGTTTGAATAATTTAATTGATATCTTTTGTAACCTGGAACGACCGCTAGGATTATAATTGCACATAGAACGATTTAAGAGATTAATAGCGACATTCTAGAAACTTGTGGCATGAGTAGGGATGGCAACGGGGCGGATCGGGGACGGGTATACATAAAACTGAAACCGCGCCGTTGGATAAATGTTTGCCCCATTACCCATTTGGGTAATTTTATTTGAACCGTACCCGCCCCAACGGGAAATTGATTTATCCACGGGTAACCATTTCCCCAAATGCTCTTAAATAACCAATTTCTAATCCTAATGTAAACATCTTTCATACTCGTAGTAAATTATATATTCAAAGCCCCGATTTCTTTTTCAATTTGCATCCCATTTCGTATACATCGTATCCACTCCGTATCTAATTTTGCTAAATCTTAATGATGTAAAAAACTACAAAATTAGGCATCGAGCAAACTCACCAAACTGTAATATACCCTCTATTAATCACAAGATAGCTAGGCATCAAGCAAACTCAACAAACCGTAATATACACACTCTCTATTAACTACAGGAAAACTTATCTTTGACAAGAGTAATTCGGAAAATAGAAGAAAGAAGGAACTGGGTAGACTCTAAGTGGGCCTCTGGTGTCATATTCTTTATATACTCATATGATATATACGATTACGTGTACACAATTTAGTATATATATTTATTATTCTTATATATAAAGAGTTATAATTTATTAATAATGTTACGGATCGGGTAATGCTGCGGGTACCTGCCCCATTAGTGAACGGGGCGTTTTCGGGGCAGATTAGTATAGAACCATAACCGCACCATTATCCATTTAAAAAAATCGGGTATTCCCCGCTCCATACCCGTTCCCCAGTCAAATCGGTTTTCCCCATTTTGACCAAACCGGTTCGGTGCGAGTATCCAACGGGTTGGCCGGAATCGCCATCTCTAGGCATGAGAGATCAACCTGTTTCTCTAAATTATTATACTCTACGCCGTGTTGGACGGATCATTATGGGCTTTGCAATAATAGTGTATAGTGTTAATTATTTATAGTAAAAGTGTAATTAGCACACACTACAAGAAATCTCACACTTTAGTGACAGAAAATCCGTCACTAATTCCGCCACAAAAAAGCTTAGTGATGGAAATCTGTGACGGACTGCCCGCCACTAAATTCTGGACCGTATTACGTTTACTGACGGATTTATAAAGTCGTTGCTAATCTGTGACGGAATTCAATGGCAGATATGTCTGCCATTATGTGTTGTGACAGAAATCAGTCGCTAATTTCCGCCACTGATTAATTTTCAAATATTTAATAAAACGCATTTTGCATTGAAATTATTCATGATTAAATTTCATTAGCATTTTAGTTTTAATAAAAATAAAAAAAACCAAAATGTATGCAAAATGAAATCATAAAGCATTCTATTTAATGTATACACAATAAAATAATAGCTATTAATTAGCATCTTCTTATATGATAATACATAACCCAAAAGATCCTTACTAGTACCAAGTTCATGTACCACAAAAAAATCACAAAAGAGCATACACCACATTCAGTTGTCTATACTTAAGTGTACAAGCTTTTCAATGCAAAAACAATATATTTATTGGGACATAGAAGGTTCATTTGATTCTTGGGACCCTTGAGAAGAGAAATCTGTTTGTGGGAAAAAACCTTCTCCATCAATTCCATGGGATTTAGAAAACGAAAGCCATGTATCTTCAAAAGTCTTAGGCTGTGAATCAGGGTCTTCGTACATCAAACTTTCATCCACAAGAGGCATTGCCGATGGACACTCATGGCCTTGGGAAGATAACCATTTTCTCATTTGTTCATCCCAATAGATGCAAAACTTATACACACGCCGTGATGATGAACAACATCTTTGATGATCAGCTGACTCTAACTGTTGAATGAATGATGCGGAGTACCACCCGGTTCCAAAAACTCATTTCCTTTTGCACCCAACAACTTCAAAATACAGAGAATACATTTTTGATAATGCAACTTTTGACGTCTTGGATAACCCAAATTCTGCTTCCGATGATTCAGAATGTTCACTTTTAGCTTTATGAAAAGTGTCAGACAACCTGTTAATGGCCTCCTGTGATACAAAATGATAGTCACTACATAATCCAAGTCACATAATAGCAATACTACAAATACTGCTACTTTCTACTATAACATCATAACAATTCAATAAATTAAACAACTTTCACTTCAGTTCAGATAGAACATCTATTTCAGCTCAAAAATGAACTGAAATTGTTTATATTTCAGTCAAAGTTCTCTAAAAGGCATTTCAGAAATTGAATAAAGTAAGCATCCACCACCAGTTCTATCTACTAGAAGAACACTATTCCTAGAAAACTTTGAAATGGTTGTCAATTACGGTTGTTAACTTGTTGACTATCCAGAAAAGTTTGCTTTCATTTACTTATATGCTTAGCATAAAACAATACAGTCACTTTTTTAGAGGAACAATAGAGTCACTCAAGTATATGTATTTAGATTATTATTTACATTTCTAATAAATATATACCATAATCCAGTTGTATATTTTCCACCATTCAAATCACATAAATACTCACATTAAATTTAGATAATGAGATACAAAGAAACATTTCAAAATGAAAAGTGAAAAAATAATGGCATACCATCATTTCTGAGTGTGATGAATGATCAATTAGCTCTCCATTTTTCCTTTTATCGGGATGAAATGTCTTACAAAGTTTCAATGGATTTATGTGTTCACCAGTAAGTCTCAACTAAAACAAAATGCAAACCGTCATCAAATGAAGCAATTAAAAGTATTAAACATTATGAAGGAACCCACCTCATCATAGCAATATAAACCATCTCTTGGTAACAGAGGGCCATAGAAGATTGATTTTCCCTTAGTAAAGTTCTCATTATCGAACCGGAATGGATGATCACCTGGGAGGAACTTTCTATGATTATCAAACCAACTATGTTTTTTGCTATGTCATAACCAATAGGCTTCAGTAAACTCGGTACAACATGGACATGCAAATTTCCCCTTCGTACTCCATCCAGAAAGCATGACATTTGCGGGAAAATCACTAATTGTCCATAGCAAAACAGCTCGCATAATGAAATTCTCTCTTGAGAATGCATCATATGTTATAACTCCAACGTCCCACAGTTGTTTTAACTCTTCTATCAATGGTTGCAAATACACATCTATCCCCTTTGTTGGATTTCTTGGTCAGGGTACCAATATAGACAAAAATAAAAATTGTTGCTTCATACACATACCTGGAGGCAAGTTGTATGGTGTCACTATGATAGGCCAACAAGAGTATTTTTGACCAAATTGTCCAAATGGCTGGAAGCCGTCACTGCATAATCCAAGCCTAACATTTCTCGGGTCTTCAGCAAAATCTGGATGGAGATTGTCAAAATGAGTCCACGCCTTTGCATCTGACGGATGACGCATCACTCCTTCTTCTTTATGGTGAACTTTGTGCCACCTCATTTTCTCTGCGGTAGTATCTGATTCATAAAGCTTTTGTAGTCTAGGAGAGAGTGGGATGTACTCCATTCTTGAAAGTGGAATTGCTTTTTTTGTTTGCTTACTAACTCTGTATCTTGCACCACCGCAAAACTTGCACTCCATTAGCTCATTGTCTCCTTTCCAATATATCATGCATCCTTTTGGACAACAATCAATAGACTGACTTGTCATTCCCAATGAAGATAACTTCCTTTTTATTTTGTTAAAATTTTGTATAGGCCTATTGGGGATTTTAGTTGGGAAAAATCTATTCACAAATTGAGCAATTCTGTCTGTAGCAGCCTCAGATAAATTCATCTCAGTCTTTATGTTCAACATTTCAATCATTGTGCTCAACTCAGTCATTGGACAACCCTCAAAACATGTTTGACTTGTCATATCTAGCATCTCATACATCTTCTTCGCTTCTACACTTGGCTCATCATTCATAAGAAAACCGTCTTGATTTTCTGTTGGGAATTTATTCCACACTGCATCCTCAAACATCGATTTGTATGGATCATATTGGACCTCAGATGCATTACCATGGGAGGAGTTGGCTTGATCAAAATAAACCAGACCATTTGAATTGGGTGTCTCTCCATGCGCTGCCCATACATAATAGTCATCAACAAAACCTTTCTCAAATAGGTGTTGTTTGACAATATCCGAAGTCAACCATTTTCGATTTTTACACTTTCTACATGGACATGCAATGACACCACTGGGATATAAATTTATCGATGTCTGGATGAACTCATTGACACCTTCCTTGAAATCATCATTTAGAAATCCTCGTCTTTCTAGTCTTTTGTACATCCATGACCTATTATTATTCATACTAAAATCTAAACAAAAAAAATGACATACATTACATCTTCATTCAATAAACTAACTAAAATAGCAATGTACTATCAATATATATTATCAATAAAATGTTTCCAAATTTTCTCTTAAGAAATCAATATGAATTAGAATTTAAGTGACCATCTACATTATAGATTTTTATTTTTACTATGCTATCTCCATTTTTTAAATCATACGAAAAACATATATGAAGTATCTACTATCGAATTTCATACAACGCATACATCTAACTTGAACAAGCAATTTCCTACATTTTTTTTCTAAGGATAATCTTCAATCTTGTAATTAACACAAATATAGTTGAATTTTATTTTTTAAAAGATAATAAGGAAACCAAATAAACAAGAACAAAATTGTTCTATTACATAAACATATACACACATGATCATGATAATTAAATAAGTTAATTTATAAATTAAATATGATTACATATAACTTTTATTTAAAAAAAGTAAGAACTCTAACCTCACATGTAGAGTTCGTCGTTGCTGAGGACAATAGCTAGGTCGATCAGTGAGATATGAGGATAATTAAGGAGGGTGTGGAGTTAGGATGGGTTGGTAGGAGTATTTAATTTTTTTGAATTAGTGACGGAAATCGGTGAAGAAGAATTTTCGTCATTATTTAGTGACGGTTTTTACTGGGGAAACAGTCCGCCACTAAATACCGACGGATACAACATTCCCATTAAATTGCGATACTAAATGCCGTCGAACAGAACTTCGCCACAAAAATCCGTCACTAATTTGCGAAATTCTTGTAGTGACATGTAATGGGCCGAGGGCTTTATAGCTTGGCCGAATACTTGGTATATAGACCTTTGCATGGAATGAAAAACCCTAAGAGGAAAATTTTATTCATACGCCTAAACATATGATGAGTTGTATCACCTCAAGCCTTTGGAGAAAATTACCAAAATACGGGGATTTGGCATCTGACAACCCAAAATGTGGGAGTTCCGTTTAGGTTACAAAATTACGGGAGTCGGATTTGGCAAATCCAGCTAGAGGAGGGCTTCCAAATTAGGGCTGAATACCTTGTCAGAATTGGGGAATCCGACAAGGGGGGATGCAAAAAAATTAAATAAACACGTAGTCGGAATTGGGGAATCGGACTAGGGGAATTGTGATAAATTTTTATTTTTTCAAATCGCATACGTGTTTGTGTGTGGTTCATTTGTTTTACCAACAATCTTGTCGGAATTGGTGAATTTGACTGGGTTTTTATGGTTGTAAAATATTTTACGTGTTTAATTTGTGGCCTAGTTTTTTTTACCAAACTCCAACCACACCAACTCCTATAAAATCCATTGATTTGTTCTCAAAATTTTCAAGCACAATCCAAAACCACATCTCTCTTAATATATTAATTATATTTTCTGTTTAGGCACTCTCTTCTCATATAAAAATGTGTATCGAGGGCAATACTGTTGTTATGGTTCATTGGAATGGATCTACATCTCAAAAAGATGATGAAATAGAGTACTTCATACCTCCTAGAGCGGTACTATTCATTAGTGAAGGAGATCATTATACTAGTATACATGAGAATGTTCTAAATCATGTTAGAGGCGACAGATTTTCCGAAATTAAACTAATTTACGGAAAATTGCAAAAATATAAGAATTCGGTATATGTTGCTTCTAGATTATGGCCCATTCACGATGAGCAGACATGGCGTCATTTTTTCCGGATCGCTACAAATGAGTATGAGGAATTGCACATTTACGTGGAAGCTTCTGTGACCCCGCCACAAAATTTGACGTTCCACGGAACTCCCGAAGTGGAAGACCCATCATTAGTATATGGTCGGAGGAATAACCGCCAAATGTTTCAGAACTATGAATCTCCCCGGTATGTATTGTTCAAGTTAATTTAGTAATTTGTAAATTTTTTAATTTAGATTGTTAAATTGGAGATTTAGAGTTAAATTTGGCTATAATTGATCGTTGTATAATCAATAATTAGATAACATAGGCTCATCTTAAATATTATAACATAATGAGTATATATCGCTAATATTAGTAATATATGTATTACTTAGTGTATTATATACTTAGGCTATAATAAAAGTATATATTATCTCTACCAGAATATATTGCGGCTAACTTGATAATAATAGAACGATAATCAACGTGGTGTAATCTAAAAAATATTTGTAAGTGCATTGTAATTACCAAATCGTTGTGATATATTAAATAATACTAATATCATGCATAATTAGGCTAATTAATTTCTCTATAATTTAATATCTTTATAATAATATGACGCGTATCTAATTAATTATATGTGATTAATATATTACTTATATTAATTATATATTTACGATATTGATTTAGACGGAGATAGTATCACGTCGTTAAAAAAGCTATATATAGATCTCTAACTTATAATTTGCCTTAATTAATTTTTTAGGAGTGTAGAAGTAGTAGATTTAGTAATTTGTAATTTTTTTAATTTAGATTGTTAAATTTGAATTTTAGAGTTAAATTTAGCTATAAAATACTTGAAAGTTAAAAAGAGTGTTAAATTTAGAATTTGCCTTAAATTTCGGTTTTAGGAGTGTAGAAGTAGTTAATTTAGTAATTTGTAAATTTTTTAATTTAGATTGTTAAATTGGAATTTTAGAGTTAAATTTCGCTATAAAGTACTTGAAAGTTAGAAAGTGTGTTAAATTTAGAATTTGCCTTAACTTTTGGTTTTAGGAGTATAGAAGTAGTTAATTTAGTAATTTGTAATTTTTTTAATTTTGATTTGTGAAATTGGAATTTTAATTTAGTGTATATTATTCTTAATATCTTTGTAATTCAGATACAAATATAGTATTGAATTTTAACAGATAAAATTTTCACAGAGAAATATAATCAAATAAATTTTATCGGATAAAATTTATCTGATTATATTTCCTTTATATCTCTCGCATCTACCGCATCTACCAAATTCATTATTCTGTCCAACCATATCTGTACAAATTCATTAATGTCCTTTATCTTTATCTGTGTCTTTGGTATCTGTCGCAGTCCAACTGCATTGAGTCCAACTGAACTGCATTGAGTCCAACTGCAAAACATATTTAGATTTTAAATGTAAATAAAAAATGAATTTTAATGCTGTCGGAATTCTCAAATCTGACAGGGTTTTTTATAGAAATTTTTATATGGCTAGTTTTAGTGTTGTCGAATTAAAATGAAAAAAAAAAAATCTACCTGTCGGAAAGCCCAATTCCGACTAGGGGGTGTTTTTTAGAAATATTCTGTTTTATTTTAAGAAAATTTATATAAATTAAAATTTATAAATTACATTGTTATTTTATTTTGTTTAAACTATAACTTTAGAAGTATTTATTTTAGTAATTTTTAACTCAATAAATTAGATAAACTCGCATTTTATAATATAACGCGTTTAAACCAAATTTGACCCATTAAGTCATATATGAATTCAAAAATAAATTAAGTTATAACATATTCAAAGTACATTTTATAACATTCAAATAAAATGTTATTTATTTATTGTAGTAGATAATAATATTGAAATTTATGAATGTATCTCCTTTGTACAGTCATAAACTCGGGTGAAGAGTCGGATGATCTTGACTATGAACAAAGTTTTAGTAGTGATGCCTATTCATCCACAAGCGATGATGGTGACGAGGAAGTAGACACCACCTGGGCCAATGTGGAGCTACAAGAATCACATGTTGAACCGGTGGATTCTGAGCCTGAAAGGATCGAAGTCGGCGCAGTTTACTCTTCATATGATGTACTGAAAGAAGCGGTGGCGAAAGAAAACATTCGTCAATTTTGTCAATTCAGAACGGATGACAAAAGGTCACGGTCCTGGAAGGCGGTTTGCATAGACCTGAGCCTTTGCACTTGGCATATCCAAGCAGGAGAAGGTATGACGTCAAAAAAGTGGAAAGTAAAAAAATATCAACCCCATCACAGTTGTAGGGAGGATCCTAAAATGGCTCGGGATGACAAGATCCTAACGGCCAAGATCATAGCCAGTGAAATTGCTCCAAAAGTCAAAGTCAACCCGGACTACAACATTAAACTGATAATGTCAGACATGTATGAAACATTTAATATTCGCGTTTCATATAAAAAAGCTTGGAATGGACGCTTGATCGCTCTGGAGTGTAAATTCGGCAATTGGGAGGCGTCATATAATGAACTTCCTATGTTGTTGGAAGCTATACAGTTTTCCAATCCGGGGCCTGTTGTTCATTTGCAATCACAACAGACCGGCACTCCTCATACGTCCGAATTCCGCTGAGTGTTCTGGTCATTCAAAGCTTCTATAGACGGTTTCAGATTTTGCTTACACGTAGTTTCGGTTGATGGCACTCACTTATATCGCAAATACAAGGGGGTTCTTCTAGTTGCGGACTTGCGGTAGTCATGAATGCTAACCGTGAGATATTTCCTCTTGCATATGCCGTTGTTGAGAGTGAGAATGCTGATAGTTGGTCGTGGTTCTTTGCAAGGGTTATGCGTGATGTGGTTGGAAGTCAACGTAGTGTGTGCATTATCTCCGATCGTCATGCAGGAATTGAAAGTGCATTATATTTAGAGCCTTGCCAGAGTTGGGATTGCCACAAGTTTCAAAGCGTTGTTGCCTCCATCACATACGGAGTAATTTCATGACCAAGTTTAGGAACGCGGATGACGTGCACTTTGTCGTGGTGTGCACTCAAAATAAATAAATAGAATACAACACTTATACGTAATATAGTGTAGTAAGGTTCGTATCCACATGGAAAGGAATATCTTTCTTTTAATTAACTAGTAACAGGGGGTTAGATTGTTGTTGGAACTTTAAAGAATTTTTAAACACTAAGATGAATGACTTATGTGGTTTAATTAATTATAGATGGACACTTGGTTTTGCTTTTATCCGCTTAACGAGACACGTTCATTAATAAACTTACTACCGAGTCAATATAGAACACGCGCCATGAGACACGATTGAGATTGATAACCTCAACACAAGTGGTTTATTGGTTTAATCAATATAATTAATTCCCCTTAGATTATTAACCATGAGACACATGCATTCATAATCAAGGTTTACTACCGTTGAAAGAACCGAATTAATAACAAGCGTATTAACCGATTGATTCTAGTAATAATTAATATATGAAACAAAACTAGTTGATCCTTTAAGTAATGTTCAAAATATTAATATGAAATATGAATAGGAATTAATTAATATTCAAGGAAGAATATTATTAAAGAAGATGAATTCTACTATAATTAATGTCAAGATGTTAACTAATTGTCATCTTAGCAACACTCCCCAACATTAATATAGAGGAAGAAAATAGTACTATAATTAATGTCAAGGTGTTAACTAATTGTCATCTTAGCAACACTCCCCAACATTAATATAAAGATAGTATTAAGGAAAGAACTAATAATTAATATTCAAGGAAGAAGATTAAAGAAAATAACTCACAACTTACAAGTCATTAAGCTTCAAAGTAGCAAAACCAAGATGGAAGAGTTTAGCTCCTCATTTGGAGAATAAACATACTAGAAAATATAAAGAAAACACTTAACTAAACTGAGCTTAGAGTATATGTGAATTCGTGTTTTTAATGTGAAGGAAAAGGGGTGTATTTATAGCAAAATGGAGATGGCAGGGTGCTATACTCGATCGAGTATATAGGATACTCGATCGAGTACAAAAGGTAATTTCCAGGAAACTGCGAATTATAGGCATACTCGACCTAGTATTGAGTGATACTCGGTCGAGTATGAGACCGGATTTCCATCAAATATTCAACCACGTTCTTTTGCTCCCAGATTTGATTTTGACCAGTGTATCCGGTCAATACTCGACCGAGTACTGAACGAATTTCAAAATCTTCATTTGATCTTCTTCCTTTTGCACATTCTTTGGTCTTTAGAATCCATCATTTGATTCTTGGGATGATTTTGACTTGTCCTAAGCTCAAAATAATCCTAATCTAAATAACTAATTGTCCTTTGGTATAAGAATCAAAATAATCCTAATTCTTAGTAACACTCACCAATATTAACATAGAGGAAGAAATAACTATTACTATAACCAATGTCAAGATGTTAACTAATTGTCATCTTAGTAACACTCCCCAACTTTGATATAGAAATAGTATTTTAAAGGAAGAATTAGTGTTCAAGGAAGAAGATTAAAGAAAATAACTCACAACTTACAAATTCATTAAGCTTCAAAGTAGCAAAACCAAGATGGAAGAGTTTAGCTCCTCATTTGGAGACTAATCATGATGAAAATATAAAGAAAGAACTATTCTAGACTGAGCTTAGAAGTATAAAGGAATTAGATATCTAATTGTGAAGGAAAGAGGGTGTATTTATAGGTGTGTAATTTCCACAACTAGAACTAATAAAAACTAGTTAAAAATACAAACATACAATCGGAAATTACATGAATATCAACTCCCCCACACTTAGCTTCTTTACTCGTCCTCGGGTAAAGTCAAATGTTTAACAGTTCCAAGTCCTCAAAAGTTCAACAATCAACCAGAAAGAGCATAAGACCACCAAGGATAACATATGAGTTTTACATTGAGTGTTTAGCTCAAAGAACAATATCTTCTTGGGTTTCATGGCCTTCTATGCTCATCTCCTCTTTTCATCTTCAAGAGATTAAATGATGTCCGGTAAAAACAAATATATCTCTCATATCTCTCATTTTGTCTAGGAGCCTTTTCAAGTTTTCATCCTAACATCTCTTTTATTTTTCCACCTTTCCACTCACTCATCATTTTTTTTGTAAGCCCTTTTTGCTTAAATTGCCCATTTTTTGGGTTTTCAACCTAACTAACATTTCATTTCTTTTTTTGTGTGTACAAAGAGTACAAGAAAATAATGCTTAGTACAAGGTAAAAACAAAAGGGAATTTAACATACCAAATGATGAGTCTTCCTCCCCCACACTTAGATCAAGGCACTATCCCTAGTGCCCGCCTTCACCGCCATAATAGTCTTTTTTGGAGCTTGAAATTCAGACTACTTGGGTTTTGGGGCTAGAGTTTTGGTTATTAGTGAAAATGGGGGGTGGGTGGAAGGAGTTGGATTGGGGGTATGAGGTTGTAGAGGTTGTAGAGGAGAGTGAGGGGAATGTTTTGGTGGTGGTATGAGAGAATTTGGTTGAGTATTAGTGGAGATATGGAAGATGGAAGGTTCGAAAATGGAGCTTTTTAGAGAGAGAGTGTGAATTTGGGGATGAGTTTGGGGAAGATGATCCGATTTAGGCGTTTGGATTGGGTTTAAAACCTGTAAACCCGATCGGGTGGCCCGACATACCTGATCAGGTATGCTCTTATGTGGTATTGTTCCAGGGTGCCCGGTCAAGTATGGAGTATACTCGATCAGGGTTTTTGCTTCGAGCAAAATCAGTTGAATTTGAATATACCCGACCGGTTCAATGGTATATCGGATCAGGTATTCGGCCATTTTTTCACTTCAGGCTCGATCGGGTATAGTGTATCTGATCCTCAACCATTACCTTTTTCATATGTACCCGACCGGGTGGAGGGTGTTACCCGATCGGGTACTACACCCTGGAGTTTTGTTTTGTCCATTTTTTTGGCTTAGATCCGAGCGGGTAGGTGATTATGCCCGATCGGAGGCTTTGACGTGCACTTGTCGTGAGGTGCACTCAAAATAAAAACAATACAACGAATATATGTAGTATAACGAAGTAAGGTTTGTATCCACAGGGAAAGGAATATTTATCTTTTATAATAACAGTAACGAAAGGGGGGTTTGAGTTTGATTTGATTTAATTTAATTAACACTAAGATGAACGACTTATGTGGTTTTAATTCATAGAGATGCGGACTTGGTTTTGCTTTTATCCACTTAATGAAATGTTCATCGATCCCGGTTATATTTTTAACTATCTTCCTCTCGAATACTCAATCGAGGATTATATTCAGTTCATCGAGGGTAGTTATTAATAACGAGAAGCGTTCATTTATAAAACTTACTATCGAGTCAACATAGAACAAGCGCCGTATATTAATTCGATAGTAGCAATAAGCTTAAGATGAAAACGATTGGGATTGATAACCTCAACACAAGCGGTTTATTGGTTTAATCAATATAATTAATTCCCCTTGGTGTATTAATCATGAGATGCATGCATTAATAATCCATGTTTACTACCGTTGAATGAATCGAATTAATAACAAGCGTATTAATCGATTGATTCTAGTAATAATTAATATATGAAACAAAACTAGTTAATCCTGTAAGTAATGTTCAAAATATTAACATGAAATATGAATAGGAATTAATTAATACTCAAGGAAGAATATTAAAGAATATGAATCCTACTATAGTTAATATCAAGATGTTAACTAATTGTCATCTTAGTAACACTCCCCAATATTAACATAGAGGAAGAAATAACTATTACTATAACCAATGTCAAGATGTTAACTAATTGTCATCTTAGTAACACTCCCCAACTTTGATATAGAAATAGTATTTTAAAGGAAGAATTAGTGTTCAAGGAAGAAGATTAAAGAAAATAACTCACAACTTACAAATTCATTAAGCTTCAAAGTAGCAAAACCAAGATGGAAGAGTTTAGCTCCTCATTTGGAGACTAAACATGATGAAAATATAAAGAAAGAACTATTCTAGACTGAGCTTAGAAGTATAAAGGAATTAGATATCTAATTGTGAAGGAAAGAGGGTGTATTTATAGGCTCTTGGGATGCAGCTCGGGTACCCGATCGGGTATGTGTAAAATACCAGATTCGAGGTATACTCGATCGATTATAGGCTAAATTCTATAGGTATACCCGATCGGGTATACTCTTATACCCGATTGAGTATGTGTAGAAAGTGATATTCGGGCCATATTCGACCGGATTTGGGATTAAACTTAAGCGCATACCCGATCGGGTATGTCGGTCTACCCGATCGGGTATAGACACTCGATCGTGGTCAAAATCTTCCCTGCATGTTCCTTTGTCTTCGGATCTGATCCGATTTAAAATTTCAACAAGATACCCGATCTAGTATAGGTCATACTCGACCGGGTAATAGACCAAAAAATCATGATCTTCTTTTTTCTTTTGATTTTGCACCTTCCTTCCATTTTTGGGGTTCACCAAATGTTCTTTGATTTGATCAAGACCTGTTTGAGCTCAGAATAAACCTAATCTAAACAATTTACAAGAATTTAACAAACTAAACTATTACACCAAAAGTGTGTAATTTCCAAAGTACAAATCACTCAAAACTAATTAAAAATACAAACATACACATGGAAATTACATGATTATCAACTCCCCCACACTTAGTTTCTTTACTCGTCCTCGAGTAAAGTCAAATGTTCACAAGTGTTTAAGTCTTCCAAAGTTTCAACAATTTTAACAAGATAAAAACACAAAGACCACAAGGATAAAATATGAGTTTTAAGCTCAAATTACAAATATCATCTTGGGTTTTATGGCCTTCTAGTGCTCATCTTCTCTTCTCCTCCTCTCTTCTTCTTCTTTTTGAATCTTCTTTTCCTCCAAAGAGATTAAATGAGTCCCTGCAAAACCAAATATTTCTCTCATATCTCTCATTTTGCCTAGGAGCCTTTTCAGGTTTTCATCCTAGCATCTCTTTTCATTTTCCATTCTCCCCAACTCACTCATTTTTTTATATGCCTTTTTTGCTTAGATTGCCCATTTTGTTGGGGTTTCAACCTAACTAGCATTTCTTTTCTTTTATTTATTCTTTTTTTGTGTGCAAAAAGGGTAAAAGAAATTCATGCATAGTGAAATGTATTAAAGTTACATACCATGATGAGTCTCTCCCCCACACTTGGTTCAAGCACTGTCCCTAGTGCCCGCCTTCTCCGCCATAGAAGCTGCCTCCGAAACCGCTCCCCTGCCCGCCATCTCCCATGTATGTGTCCCCACCATCTCCGCCATCGTACCCTCCACCCCCGGAGCTAGATCCTCCAAAGTTACCCCAATGAGTGGGGTCATACCACGAGGGTGGTGGAGGAGGGTTCGCCATGGTCTGAAAAGATCCCTGTTGGGCCATGTAAGAGTACATAGGTCCGTAGAACCTACGTTGATCTTCTTCATACCGATGCCTGTCGGCTTCCCGGAGCTCCTCCATCCATTGAAAACCTGCCCTTTTCTCCTCTTGCACTTGGTTTAGCCGGTCTCCCATGTTGATATAATTGGTGTTCATTTGATTGTACCCGACAATTATTCATTGTTGCCCCCCAAGATTTGTTGGAAATAATTGGGTGGAGGGGGGTCTTGGTGCTGCTCGGGGATGTCCATGTCTACATGGCCGTGGGGTTCGGCATACGGCTCGTCTTCGGGTTGGTCTTCGTGAGGTTCTTGGAAATGTGGTGGAAGGGCGTGTGGAAATAGGTAGTGGGGTACCTCTACCTCTTCTTTGTAGAGTAGTTTGGGAAGTTCTTGGTTAGGTAGTAGGAAGTATTTGAGAGGCTTGGGGTGTATGAGCCAGTTATTCATGTTCTTTGGTCGTTCACCACCATAAATTGTATGGGAAAAGGATGTGCATCCCGAATGGCCTAACCAAGAGATATTCATCAAACAATCGTCGGGTATAGGAGAGTTATCCGTATACCCGAACTTGGTGGCTAAGTGCATAATCACCCCACCCACAACAATGGCCCCCCTGGCTGTGCTTTCCTTTTTCAGATGTGCCCACATAAGATTGCACAGATTAAAGTCCACATGAACACGGAATAGAGCTACAGACATCAAGCATATACATCCCCCATCCTAGTGTGATGGTTGTTGGGATGTCCAAGCAAGCAATTTGCAAGAAATTTCAAGAATAATCGGAGGACGAGGTGTTGGACATGACTAATATACAGTTGGGAGGAGCTAAATTTTGCTTCCCCAGTCATCTTTGTCTACAGTGAATGGCCGAAAGCAGTGTTATCGGAAATTGGGGGAAAGTTGTATTGGTGGGTATGGATGTGTAGAGGAAGGTGAGGGGAGTATTTTGGTGGTGGAATGGGGGTGATTTGGTGGAGAAATGAAGAAGATATGGTAGAGAGAAGGTTTGAAAATGGAGGTTCGGGGAGAGAGGTTCGAATTTTGGGTTTGGGATTTGGCAAGGATGAAGTGATTTGGGCGTTTTTGGGGTTAAAACGCACGTATACCCGATCGAGTATGGGAAGTTACTCGGTCGAGTATGGCTGGAAAACCGAAGTTTTGAATAGACTGTCTCCAGTACCCAATCGGGTATAACACAATACTCGATCGGGTATGTTTCTTTTTCCACATTTTGAGGCCTGTACTCGATCGAGTGCTGGGAGCAGGCTCTACATGGTTTCGTCCTTCAGAACATACTCGACCGAGTGTGTAGTGATACCCGATCGGGTATTCTTTGTTTTGCAATTGTTGAGCCCTGTACTCGATCGAATGCGGGGGTCAGGATCCATTGAACTTTGCCTTTCTGTACATACTCGACCGGGTATGTAATTGTACCCGATCGAGTATGCATGCTTTCTTGAAAAAATTAATACTCATTCGATCGAGTAATGCCCGGTTCCCCTTCTTTTAGCCATACCTGACCGGGTATAAGGTGGTACTCGATCGGGTATGTCCCCATATGCTTCAAAACCTGCATTTTTTTTTTCTTTTTCTCCAAAACCTGTGATTAGTGCCCTCTCTCTCACCCTCTCAAAACAGAAACTGGAATTTTGACAGGGAAATTAACAAAAAACGTACCTTGCTTGGGTTGCCTCCCAAGAAGCGCCTTAGTTAACGTCGTGGCACGACGCCATCGTTGTGTTCATTCTTCAAAGATTGGATCGATGAGATCCATGCATTCAACGCTTTGTTTTGGGAAACCTTCAAGGAACGGTTTGAGTTGATGTTCGTTAACCTTGAGGATTTTTCCGGTGTCGAGACTTTTTATTTCAACCGCTCCATGGGAGTAGACTTTGACCACCTTGAATGGTCCTTCCCATCGTGATCTCAATTTCCCGGGGAAAAGGCGAAGGCGTGAGAGAAAAAGAATGACTTTGACTCCAACTCGGAAATCCTTTCTTATTATCATTTTATCATGCCATACCTTCGCCTTCTTCTTGTAGATGGCGGAATTCTCATAGGACTCCAGTCGAAGCTCCTCTAGTTCTTGGAGTTGCAGCCTCCTTTGTTCTCCCGCTTTTTCCATTACGAGATTGAATGTTTTTACCGCGCAATAAGACATGTGTTCTAGTTCGACCGGAAGATGACAGGCCTTACCGAACACGAGTCTATAGGGTGACATTCCAATTGGGGTCTTGAAAGCGGTTCTGTATGCCCATAAGGCATCATCCATGTGTAGACTCCAATCCTTACGGTTTGGATTTACTATCTTTTGAAGTATAGACTTCAGCTCCCTGTTTGATACTTCGGCTTGGCCGTTTGTCTGTGGGTGGTAGGCGGTGGAGAGTTTATGAGTGACGCCATATTTCTTCAACAAGGCACTTACAGTTTTGTTGTAGAAGTGAGTGCCTCTATCGCTTATCAAGATGCGTGGGACTCCAAACCTTGAGAAGATGCGGATTTTGAGGAAGTCCGTCACCACTTTGGCATCACTGGGCTTTGTGGCTTTTGCTTCCACCCATTTTGACACGTAGTCTACCACCAAGAGAATATATAGATTTCCATGGGAATTAGGAAAAGGTCCCGTGAAATCTATTCCCAACACATCAAAGATCTCCACGTAGAGCATAGGAACTTGTGGCATCTCATGTTTTCGAGAGATGTTGCCCATTTGTTGGCAATTATCACAAGATTGACAATAGACATGGGCATCTCGAAATAAGCTTGGCCACCAAAAACCGCATTCAAGTACCTTCATAGATGTTCGTTTCCCTCCAAAGTGGCCACTACATGCATGTGAGTGACAAAAAGCAAGAATGAATGCTATTTCCGTTTCGGGAATGCACCTTCGAATGACTTGATCTTTGCAATGTTTCCATAAGTATGGTTCATCCCATACGTATTGTTTTGCATCATGCTGGAGTTTCTCTCTTTGAGCTTTAGAGAAGCTTGGTGGAAACCTGTTTAGAACAAGGAAATTAACAATATGAGCGTACCAAGGGCGAATTTCCTTAAGAGAGAAGAGGGTCTCATCGGGAAATTCCCCTCGGATATCATCTTTGATACGATTATTTCCTTCATCAAGGACTAAACGACTCAGGTGATCGGCCACCAAGTTCTCCATGCCTTTCTTGTCCTTGATCTCAACATCAAACTCGCTGAAGAGTAGTATCCATCGAATCAACCGCGGTTTGGCCTCCTTCTTTGTCATCAAGAACCTAATAGCCGCATGATTATTGTAAATGATCACCTTGGTACCAAGTAAATATAACCTGAATTTTTCAAGTGCATAAACGACGGTCAACATTTCTTTCTCGGTGGTGGCGTAGTTGCGTTGGGCATCATTGAGGGTGGTGGATAGGGCTGGCATTTTGAACCGAAAAACCGAAAACCGAACCGAAAATAACCGAACCGTTTTAGAAAAAAACCGAACCGGACCGAACCGAACGAAATTGGGACCCAATAATCGGGACCCGAAAAAAAATTGGTTCGGGTTCGGTTTATGTGCACAAAATATCGGTTCGAACCAAACCGAACCGACATTTTTATATTAATAATAATAATTGTTATTTATAATAATAATAATAATTAATGACGAAAAATATAGTAATAATATAAACCCGAGTATGGTTTGAACTAATATGACGAGTAGCGGAGTTGGTCGTTGTGCTCCTATCCCCAGCAAATGGTCGAGGGATCGATTCCCGTATGCTGTGTAATGTTTTGTATTTTTAGAATTTGGCTTCTTTCTTCTTCTATTCTGTCCCACACCGGAAAATGAGCATCTTACTACTCCAAAAACTTCAATATAAACCAGGTTCCCTTATTGTAGGCTGCTAAGATACGTTCTAGGCTTCTAATGGGGCTCAAATATTGGAAAGTTCCAATGAGCTTTAGTCTACTGAATATTAGTTCAAATTTATTTTTTAAAATTGAGTCGGTTTTTCGGTTCCCGGTAAACCGAACCGAATAATTCGGGCCCCAAAAATCGGTACCCGTTCTTAATACGGTTCGGTTTCGATTTTTGTAATTTAGTAAACCGAAATATCGGTTCGGTTCGGGTTTATACTAAATCGGTTCGGGTCCCGAACCGAACCCAGCCCTAGTGGTGGATGCATAATAGATCACATGAGATGCTCTTCCCACCTTTTGGCCCAAAACGGCCCCGACCGCATAGTCACTAGCATCACACATGATCTCAAAGGGAAGAGACCAATCCGGAGCTTGGATGATAGGTGCGGTTACTAGCTTTTCCTTCAAAGTATTGAAGGCCTTCTTGCAGTCCTTGAAAAACATGTACTCCACCTCCTTTTGCAAAAGTGCGCATAAAAGAGATGCAATCTTTGAGAAATCTTTGATAAACCTCCGATAGAAACCTGCATGTCCAAGAAATGATCGTATCTCCCTAACGGTAGTAGGATAAGGTAGTGATTGGATGACTTCCACTTTTGCTTTGTCCACCTCGATCCCTTTGGATGAGATCACATGGCCTAGGACAATTCCTTCATCCACCATAAAGTGGCATTTTTTAGAGTTTAGAACAAGATTTGATTCTAAACAACTTTTCAAGACAAGAGATAGATGGAGTAAGCATGAATCAAATGAGTCTCCATGGATTGTAAAATCATCCATAAAAACTTCCATGAATAGCTCAACATATTCAGAGAATACGCTCATCATGCATCTTTGGAATGTGGCTGGGGCATTGCATAGTCCAAATGGCATGCATCGGTATGTAAAGGTGCCAAATGGACAAATGAAAGTAGTCTTTTCTTGATCTTCAGGAGCTATGGGCACTTGAAAATACCCGGAGTAGCCATCAAGAAAACAGTAGAATTCATGCTCCGCAAGTCTCTCAAGCATTTGATCAATGAAGGGTAAAGGAAAGAAATCCTTTCTAGTTACCGCATTGAGTCTACGGTAGTCTATACATACCCTCCATCCGTTTTAAATTCGGGTGGGCATAAGTTCTCCATGTTTGTTCTCCACCACCGTGACTCCGGTCTTCTTCGGAACCACTTGGGTTGGACTAACCCACTTGCTATCGGAAATGGGGAAGATTATCCCCATTTGGAGTAGCTTGATCACCTCCTTTTTGACCACCTTCATCATAGGTGGGTTTAGTCTTCTTTGTGGCTGTCGCATCGGCTTGGCTTCATCCTCCATTAAGATGCGGTGCATGCATGTAGATGGAATAATGCCTTTGATGTCGGCTATAGTCCATCCAATTGCTAGTTTGTGCTCCTTGAGCACCGCTATCAATTTGTCTTCTTGCTCTCCGGTCAATTTGTTTGAGATAATGACCGGTAGTGTCTCTTTTTCTCCAAAGAACACATATTTCAAGTGTTTTGGGAGTGGTTTCATTTCAACTTCGGGTGCCTGCAAAACTGAAGGCAAAGGCTTTTCTTCGTGGATGGTTAGTGGAAATGTTCTCGACCCAGGTGACATAAGTGGGAGTTGGAAGTGATTATCCAATTCCACTATCATAGCTTGTGTGTTTGGAGTCAAGGCAAGTTCTAAAAAGTTTTCCCCGAAGTCATTCTCAAGTACACTTAACAATTCGTCTTCTCCATTAATTTCAAAAGTATTTTGTACAAGAGGGTCAACAATATCAATGGCAAACAAAGAATGATTTTCATTTGGGTATTTCATGGAGTCATAAATGTTGAATTCAACTTTATCTCCATCAAATTCCATTGATAAAGAGCCGCTAAAGACATCAATTTTTGCTCTAGCGGTTTTTAAAAATGGCCTTCCTAAGAGGATAGGAACCGCATTCTTATCACTCTCCATTTCCAAAACATAAAAGTCAGCGGGGAAAATCAAATTGTCAATCATAACTAGTACGTCTTCGACAATACCTTTAGGGTAAGCATTTGATCTATCCGCAAGTTGAATGACTACTCCGGTTTCATTTAGAGGGCCAAACTCAAGTGATTTGTATAAAGATTAAGGAATGACATTAACTGATGCTCCTAAATCGAGCATGGCTTTTGAAAACGTAGTTCCTCCCAACTTACAAGGTATAGTGAACATGCCCGGATCATTGTATTTCTTTGTTAGTTTCTTTTGAAAAACTGGCGAAACACGTTCACTAACTTGGACTTTTTGTTTTCCATTGAGTCTATGTTTTTTCTTTTTATTGTACATAGTTCTTTGAAAAATTTTGCAAATCTAGGCACAGCCTTTATCAAGTTAAGGAGAGGAATATTTACCTCACATTTGGAGAATGTCTCATAGATGTCCTTGTCTTTCTCCAGCTTTTGCGTTTCCCTTAGAGCCTCGAGGAAGGGTGCTTCAATTTCGGGGATGATCGGTGGTGGGGTTGAGATTTGAACTTCCACCTCCGGTTGAGTTATTTCCACCAGCTCCTCGTCTTCCTCCTCTTCGCCAATGTGGCTCTTTGCCTTCTCCTTGACAATAACCAACTCCTTGCCACTCCTAAATGTGTCTGCATGGGCTTGTTGCCTAGGATTCGGCTCCGTTTGAGATGGTAGCTTTGCCGAATCCTTAGCTTCAAGCCTACTCACGGCATTTGAGATTTGGCTGATTTGGCTTTCCAAGTTGTGGATGCTGGATTTTGTTGTTTCTTGAAATTGGACCACACTTTGTTGCATCGTTGCCATGTTCATGGCAAGTGATCGAATCATGTCTTCGGTGGACATGTTCGAGTTAAATGTTTGGCCTTGTTGTTTATATTGTTGAGGGGGAAGGTTCGATGGTTGAGGAGGTTGAGAGTTTCCGTACCTCAAATTAGGATGATCCCTCCATCCCGGATTGTAGGTGTTTCCGTGAGGGTCATACCTCTTTTGACTTTGAAACCCCAAAGCATTGACTTGCTCGGAGTTCTCCTCTTGTAGCGTTGGGCAAGAGTCGGTGGGGTGCCCTTGTGTCGAGCATATGCCGCAGACCTTGACTTCTTGGGTTTTTGGATTTAAGAGAAAATCTTTAACCAAAGAAGTCAAGCCGGCTACTTGACTTTCCAACGAGTTGTTGGATTCCGCCGCCATAACTCGTTTTGATGACCACCGATCATAGTGTCTACAATTCTCGGCCGACTCCGAGATAAGGTTTCTAGCTTGAGAAGGAGTCATGTTGACAATCCCCCCTCCACATGCGGCGTTGATCATCCACCTATCATCATTGCAAAGACCATCATAGAAGTATAAGATGAGGTCTTGCTCCGAATAGCCGTGGTATGGACAGCTTGCACAAAGTTTCTTGAATCGTTCCCAATATTCGTAGAATGATTCATCATCCTTTTGCTCCACATTGCTAATCTGCTTTTTGAGAGATGAGGAGACAGAGGCAGGGTAATACTTTTCGAGGAAAGCTTTCTTCATGGCCGCCCATGTACCTATACTTCCCGAAGGAAGATAGAATAGCCAATCCTTTGCGGTATCCTTTAGAGAAAATGGAAAAGCCCGCAGTTTGATTTGTTCTTCCGTCACACCATTTGGACACATGCTTGTGCAAACGACGTGAAACTCCGAGAGGTGTTTGTTTGGATCCTCTCCTCTCAGGCCATGGAAGGATGGCAGCAGATGAATGAGCCCAGATTTTAGCTCAAATGTATTACCCTCATCAAGTGTAGGGAAGGTAATACACAGTGGTTGTTGATTCAAGTTTGGAACTGTGAGCTCCCTCAGTGTTCTCGTTTCAAGACCCATGTGAAAGGACTCTTCGGATTCACTATAACTAGAGCTAGCGGTGTATGAATATCCGGAAGATGATTCTTCCGAGTCGGTATTAGAAAATTTACTTTTCAACCGCTCGAAAGTTTGTTCTATTTCTGGGTTTTTGTGATATGTGATTTCGTTTATGGAACGATGTTTAACCATAAACTCCACTAAGCTCAGAAAACTAGAAGAATAAGAACTCTTTATATTTTATTTATTATATTTTTTTTTTGATTTTTCTTGAAATGAAATAAAAGAAAAATAATTGCCTTTCACCGGCAACGGCGCCAAATTTGACGCGCACTTGTCGTGAGGTGCACTCAAAATAAATACAATACAACGAATATACGTAGTATAACGAAGTAAGATTCGTATCCACGGGGAAAGGAATATTTATCTTTTATAATAACACTAACGAAAGGGGGGTTTTGAGTTTGATTTGATTTAATTTAATTAACACAAAGATGAACGACTTATGTGGTTTTAATTAATAGAGATGCGGACTTGGTTTTGCTTTTATCCACTTAATGAAATGTTCGTCAATCCCGGTTATATCTTTAACTATCTTCCTCTCGAATACTCAATCGAGGAGTATATCCAGTTAATCGAGGGTAGTTATTAATAACGAGAAGCGTTCATTAATAAAACTTACTATCGAGTCAACATAGAACAAGCGCCGTATATTAATTCGATAGTAGCAATAAGCTCAAGATGAAAACGATTGAAATTGATAACCTCAACACAAGCGGTTTATTGGTTTAATCAATATAATTAATTCCCCTTGGTGTATTAATCATGAGATGCATGCATTAATAATCCAAATTTACTACCGTTGAATGAATCGAATTAATAACAAGCGTATTAATCGATTGATTCTAGTAATAATTAATATATGAAACAAAACTAGTTAATCCTTTAAGTAATGTTCAAAATATTAACATGAAATATGAATAGGAATTAATTAATACTCAAGGAAGAATATTAAAGAATATGAATCCTACTATAGTTAATATCAAGATGTTAACTAATTGTCATCTTAGTAACACTCCCCAATATTAACGTAGAGGAAGAAATAACTATTACTATAACCCATGTCAAAATGTTAACTAATTGTCATCTTAGTAACACTCCCCAACTTTGATATAGAAATAGTATTTTAAAGGAAGAATTAATATTCAAGGAAGAAGATTAAAGAAAATAACTCACAACTTACAAATTCAATAAGCTTCAAAGTAGCAAAACCAAGATGGAAGAGTTTAGCTCCTCATTTGGAGACTAAACATGATGAAAATATAAAGAAAGAACTATTCTAGACTGAGCTTAGAAGTATAAAGGAATTGGATATCTAATTGTGAAGGAAAGGGGGTGTATTTATAGGCTCTTGGGATGCAGCTCGGGTACCCGATCGGGTATATACAAGGTACCCGATCGGGTATGTGTAAAATGCCAGATTCGAGGTATACTCGATCGATTATAGGCTAAATTCTATAGGTATACCCGATCGGGTATACTCTTATACCGGATCGAGTATGTGTAGAAAGTGATATTCGGGCTATACTCGACCGGATTTGGGATTAAACTTAAGGGCATACCCGATCGGGTATGTCGGTCTACCCGATCGGGTATAGACACTCGATTGTGGTCAAAATCTTCCTTGCATGTTCCTTTGTCTTCGGATCTGATCCGATTTGAAATTTCAACAAGATACCCGATCGAGTATAGGTCATACTCGACCGGGTATAGATCAAAAAATCAGGATCTTCTTTTTTCTTTTAATTTTGCACCTTCCTTCCACTTTTGAGTTTCACCAATTGTCCTTTGAGTTGATCAAGACCTGTTTGAACTCAGAATAAACCTAATCTAAACAATTTACAAGAATTTAACAAACTAAACTATTACACCAAAAGTGTCTAATTTCCAAAGTAAAAATCACTCAAAACTAATTAAAAATACAAACATACACATGGAAATTACATGATTATCAGGCTTCCCCAAGCATTCAAAATAGAGATTTTTCTCTCATTTTTTCTGCAAATTTTGTTTCCCATTCTTTTAAAGTTGATATTCAAAAACAAAAACAAGAATGAAAAAAAAACTACATACCTTTGCTTGGGTTGCCTCCCAATAAGCGCCTTAGTTAACGTTACGGTACGATGTTATTTTCTCTACTTCAATCTTTCATGTTCGGGTCATGGTAACCCATCCTCTGCACATTTCTACCCCCGGTGACTCTTATAGAAGAGCTTAAAGAAAACACTTAACTAAACTGAGCTAAGAGTATATGTGAATTTGTTTTTTTAATGTGAAGGAAAAGGGGTGTATTTATATCAAAATGGAGGTGGTAGGGTGCTATACTCGATCGAGTATATAGGATACTTGATCGAGTACAAAAGGTAGTTTCCAGGAAACTGCGAAATATAGGCATACTCGACCTAGTATTGAGTGATACTTGGTCGAGTATGAGACCGGATTTCCATCAAATATTCAGCCACGTTCTTTTGCTCCCAGATTTGATTTTGACCAGCGTATCCCGTCAATACTCGACCGAGTATTGGCAATACTCGATCGAGTACTGAACGAATTTCAAAATCTTCATTTGATCTTCTCCCTTTTGCACATTTTTTGGTCTTTAGGATCCATCCTTTGATGCTTGGGATGATTTTGACCTGTCCTAAGCTCAAAATAATCCTAATCTAAATAAATTACAAATAATTATGAAAATAAAGTATTACACCAAAAGTGTGTAATTTCCACAACTAGAACTAATAAAAACTAGTTTAAAATACAAACATACAATCGGAAATTACATGAATACAGTGGAACTGAAAAAATTATGTTGGCAAGCTGGTAGCACTCCCACAGAACAGGAATTTCACGACTGTATGGAACAAATACGAGGCATAAATGAGAGTGCCTTTCTATATTTGAATGAGATTCCTGTTGAGATGTGGGCCCTGAGCTATGACGATGGCAAAAGATATGGCATTTTGACGACAAACCTTTCTGAAAGTTTTAACAATGTCTTAAATAAATGCCACACATTGCCTATCACAACACTCATAAAGGCCACATTCGATAAAGTCGTCCAAATATTTGCCGATCGACGAAATGCGGGAATAATGTGGCACCAAGCTGGTTTCTTGTATCCACAGAACATATGGAAGGATGTTCTTGAGCGGTCATAGCGTAGGTATCACACAACTATTGTCCCGCACAATCAAACAACAAGAATTTACTCTGTAGCTATTGGTTCGCATGATCCAGTGACAATCGATCTGACAAGGCAGGAATGTGGGTGCGAGTATTGGAAGCAGAACGGGATGCCATGTGTTCACACGTATGCGGTTTGTCGGTTTTTAAAAATACCCGTAGACGACCTCATCCCAGCTGTGTATTCGTTAAATGCCTACATCCGGACGTACGCTTCCGATATTATGTCTATTAATAATTACCTCAATGTCATGGCAGAAACACCGCATACACTTCTCCCGCTCACAAACAATAGATCGGCTAGAGCCGGTAGGCCACAGAGAACTCGATTTACTAATGAAATGGATTTGCGTGCTACAAGGAGAGGACATGAGTAATAATGTAATGTATACCTTGTCGGTTTTTTTGTTTTGCATCCAATTACTAATGAAATATTTGTTCTCTTTTTCATTGTATCTGAAGTTTTTGTTCACATAAATTCCATCAAATAAATTTAATTAGAAAAACTTGTCAGATAAAATATAATCAGATAAAATTTCATCAGATAAATATCATCAGATAAATTTAATCAGATAAAATCAATCAAAAAAATTTGATAAGATAATTTCAATAAGATCAAATTTAATCAGATAAATATAATCAGATAAATTTTATCTGATATAATTTAATCAATCAATATTCTCGCAAACCATATCTGTACAAAAATAAAGTGGCCCATAATTCAATAATGTGTCGGATCTACAATTGAATACTCCCACCTAACTCCGCTAAACAAACACATTCTATACTATCCTAACCGTTCGAAGAAGGCGCGGATCACAATCTAACGGTCCTCCTCCAGTCGGAACTGCCAAATCCGACTGGGAGGCATCTCCATGACCAGCTTTAATCTTGTGCTCGTACTAATCTACGCAACTCCCAACTCTATTTTTTTTATAAATAGATTCTAAATCAATACTCATTCCTACATCAATACTCAATCCCAATTTTATCAATCTCAAGCAAGAGTACTCACTACCAAATCAAACCTTTAAGATCAGCCAAGTTTCCAGGTTCGTTAATTTTTTGTTTTAGGAGCGTAGAAGTAGTTAATTTAGTAATTTGTAAATTTTTAATTTAGATTGTGAAATTGGACTTTTAGAGTAAAGTTTAGCTATAAAATACTTGAAAGTTAGAAAGTGTGTTACATTTAGAATTTACCTTAAATTTCGGGTTTAGGAGTGTAGAAGTAGTTAATTTAGTAATTTGTAAATTTTTAATTTAGATTGTGAAATTGGACTTTTAAAGTGAAATTTAGCTATAAAATACTTGAAAGTTAGAAAGTGTGTTACATTTAGAATTCGCCTTAATTTCGGTTTTAAGAGTGTAGAAGTACTTAATTTATTAATTTGCAAATTTTTAATTTAGATTGTGAAATTGGACTTTTAAAATAAAATTTAGCAATAAAATACTTGAAAGTTAGAAAATGTGTTACATTTAGAATTTGCCTTAAATTTCGGCTTTAGGAGTGTAGAAGTAGTTAATTTAGTAATTTGTAAATTTTTAATTTAGATTGTGAAATTGGACTTTTAAAGTAAAATTTAGCTATAAAATACTTGAAAGTTAGAAAGTGTGTTACATTTAGAATTTGCCTTAAATTTCGGTTTTAGGAATGTAGAAGTAGTTAATTATGTAATTTGTAAATTTTTAATTTAGATTGTGAAATTGTACTTTTAAAGTAAAATTTAGCTATAAAATACTTGAAACTTAGAAAGTGTGCTACATTTATAATTTGCCTTAAATTTCGATTTTAGGAGTGTAGAAGTAGTTTATTTTGTAATTTGTAAATTTTTAATTTAGATTGTGAAAGTGGACTTTTAAACTAAAATAAAATTTAGCTATAAAATACTTGAAACTTAGACAGTGTGTTACATTTAGAATTTGCCTTAATTTTCGGTTTTAGGAGTGTAGAAGTAGTTAATTTTGTAATTTGTAAATTTTTAATTGAGATTGTGAAATTGGACTTTTACTCTTTAATTTTAACTTTTTATTATTTATAATAGTTGAAATTGTACATGTTTAGAAATTCTGTTAAATTTAAATAGTCGAATTTAAGATTTTAATTTCGCAATTATAGTTATTTCGAATTTCGAAATTACTAGTTATTTTGGTAACTTTTAAGATTTTAATTTTAGATTGTGAATTTAGAGTTGAACTTAGCTATAAAAATCTAGAAATTTTGAAAGTGTGTTAGATTTAGGATTTGAGTTAAAATTCGAATTTATGACCTTACAAGTTATTTTAGTAATTTTTAAATTTTTTGTGTGAGGTTGTGAAATTGGAATTTTAGAGTTCAACTTAGCTATAAAGATCTACAAATTTAAAAATTGTGTTACATTTAGAATTTGAATTCAAAACTATGAATTTATAAATTGTGTTCAATTTAGATTTAGAGTTCAATTTCGAATTTAGTAATTTATAACTACTTCTTTTAGGAATTTCAAATGGACCAAAACATTCCGCGCCCAGGGCCTGTTAACCATTCACTACTCACGTTGCCACTACGTGCCCATCGTGCGGACCGTGTATGGTATGAACCAAATTTCAAACACTCGTGCTTGAAATGCGTCAGTTGCCCTTCAGCTGCATTCATAGATGAAGAGCGAGATCAAAGAGTGATACATATGTTAGCATATGCTAGCTTCTTGGGGGTAGAGCACATTGCCCGTATGAAGGTGGGTCATAGTTTAATATGCGCTTTGGTGAAGAGATGGAGGTCGGAGACACATACTTTCCATCTTCCATTCGGTGAGGTCGGCATTAGTCTACAAGATGTGGCGATCATCCTTGGTTTGTCCATTTGGGGTAAGCCCCTCAGTGGTCCAGCCGTTAAGGGTAAAGCTCAGTGGATCGACCTGTGCACGCAGTTGTGTGGTTTCACTCCTCTAGAGATTGATATGCGCACGAGTGATATCACCATGAGTGTTGTTACCTGTCACTCGATCCTACCGGACAGTATAGACGAAGAGGTCACCGAACACACCAGAACTCTAATATGGCAATTGCTTGAAGGTTTTTTGTTCCCTGACATGAGTGGGACAAGAATACGATTGTAGTTTTTGGAGGTCTTGCAGGGTGACTTGGCTTTAGCCCGTCTATATATGGAGTTGGGGATCAGCGGTTCTCGGGTACCTCTACCATAACTTGTGATACGGCGCCAAGTGGGAAACCAAACAAGTTGGCTGATGTATGCACTTGTTACAGATTTGGGCTTGGTCGAGGATTTCGATGGTCCGTCCCTGAGTACTTCAGGTCATTCAACACGACCATCTTCCATATGGGTGCAAGTATGTTTGCAATTACATCTTAATAATTGAGAATGCTTTATATGACGTTACATTTTTTAACTTCATATCGGTAATCAATAAATGTAGGTGGATCGGCCCCAAGTCATATAAGGGATCCCCAAGACACTGCATACGCTTGTACCGGGATGACCTAGACCGCATGAGTGAGAGTCAGGTAGTACTTGAAATTTTTACTTCAACCATACTATTCAATTTTCAATACATATTGTTTTATAGTTCTTAAATTGCAAGTTAAACTTTTTACAGTTTGATTTCACTCCCTACGCGTCCGAGACACTCCCACCTATCATCCTTAATGACGCTCCGCTTTGGTCGGCTAGGGTCATGCTCATATTTTGCAATATGGCCGAAATGCATTACCCCAATCGATTTCTTCGGCAATTCCATATAAGATAAGATACTCCGAATGCTCCTTTGGTGGGTACTGATAATCACGGCAATCGTTCCAACATAGTAGCCGGTGCCTTGGCGTTGTGGGCGGACATACAACATAATATATACTTTCTTGATTTTGATCGACATATGACCCTCGAAGCAACTAATAGGTACCGAAAATTGTACAAGAAGCATGGTATGACACGTGTCAAGAACCCTTCTCACAATGTGCCCACAATAGGCTACACCCCGACAGCACACGTTTGGGGTATTGCGGTAAGTTTTGGAATACATACCATATTCATTAACATATATCGTGTCATATTATTTACATGTGTTACATTTTTATGCAGAAGCAAGGCATTCACGAGGTGTAAGCTCTTAGCCGACCGCGCGAGTTATGAGGACTGTCAAAAACGACTACGGTGGATGGCCCTGGACGTAGGTGATGAAGAGATTCTCCACCGGGGCATATTCCATTATGATCGAAGATGAAGATGAAGGTGGAAGTGATGAAGAGGATGATGCAGATGAACATGAAGGTGGGGGTGAGCACTCACAATCACCCTCTCAATTCTCAACACAAGGTGTCTCATTTGATCAACCACCCCCTCAATTCTCAACGCATCAAGGTGTCTCATTTGATCAACCACCGTCGTATTATGATTCTTATCAGTACTCCACACAAGCGGGTGATTATGTTGAGTCATTTCTGAATTCGTCGTTTTACTATGGAGACACAACGGGGCCTTGGAACACTGGCGGTGGGGACGGAGCAGGGCCGAGCACGCAATGTTAGATGTAATATTAAATTTAATATTGTATGTACTCTCTATTCATTAATAAATTACATTGAAAACTACATTTGTTTTGTTCACTTCCATTAAAATTACAAAAAATTGCACTTAAAACAAAATCAAATTTGTATCTCATCTGACGAATGGATTAAATCAAAATTGCACTTAAAATTACAAAAATTGCAATTAAAACAAAATTCACAATACAAATGGATTAAAAAACAATATAAAGCAACCAAATGTTTTGTTACTCAAAAAATCAAAATGCCAAGTTTTCATTTTAAAAAATATGTCACGAATCTAAAAAAAACTTTTAAATTTGGAATGGATAGAATTTAGCCCTAGAATTTAAAACTTTTAGTTTTTAAAACTCAAAATCAAAAACTTAAGAATTCGGCAAAAAATAAAATAAAAAAACTCCTAGTCGGAAGTGGCTAATCCCATAGGAGGGGAAGTTTTTTTGGGAAACCCTACCTCTAGTCGGGTTTCGTCTCCCGTTTTATGGTAAACTCTAAAAAAATCCCCGTATTTTGACAATCCCATGCATGTACGTGTGAGCACTTGTACCTGTAATGTGGCTGGAAAATTTTCAGAAGATCGGGAGGAAGAACAATTTCATCAATTCTTGGTTGGAATTGATGATGATTGATGAAGTATTTGGCTTGACCCATTCGAATCTTCTTTCTCAGACACCGTCCCCTAACATCAATCGGGCATGTCATGTTTTTCTTCAAGAAGAACGTTCTCGTGCTGTTGCTTGGGACAAGACTGGTGTTACTGAAATCTGTGCCTTTGCTCTTCAATATGAACGTCCCCAGGGACGACTGGACAAGGTTGAATGCAGCAAGCTCTCTTGATCTCACTGCAAACAGAAAAGACATGAAATCAACACATGCTTCAAGCTACAAGCTATCTGAAATGGTGGGAAGAATGAAATTGTAACAAAGGAGGAGGCCCTGGACGGGGGTCAACTATCAGCACAGCTGTTGCTCAGTCACGTGGTTCGCGAGGGGGAATTCGCGAGGGGGAAGTATTTTTGGGAACAGAAGGAGTACTTACCAATATTGTTCGTATTAATGGTTGCATTGCCCGGTTGAGCTGCCTGATGGTCGTACTGTTGTTGCTATATTGGAAGGTAGTGTGCGCCTTTCCAAGACTATCACTCAAAAATGTTTTCTTTATTCCACTACCATCTTATCTCTGTCCTCAGTTGATAGATCAGTTTGTTTGTATTGTAACTTTCACTAATTCTTTTTGTGCTATAGAGGATTTACACTTGAGGCACTTGATTGGAGCCAAAGTTTATTCCTACGCCTAAACTTATCACGCCGCGAGAGCGGTAAGGACTTAGTACGTATTGACCTCGATCCATTCCACAATTTAATAATATTCAAGTGTTTAAGTCTGATTAGCCCCGAAATTTAGTTGTCCCGAAATCAATCCATGCTTCTCTTCTATCATTTATTAGAAAGAGTCCTTTAATTTAGCTTTTTAGATGCAAATTTAATTCCAAAAAATCAAATCTCGCACATTGCATTTATTTTATTCATTTTAAACACTAAATCTATGTAATACATAGTACTTAATTCTCTTTTTCCGTCCATGTGAAGACCATACTCGTACTTTTACCCTATATAGCTACATTTATTTTAAGTGTGAATAAAGTTACATCACTCTATTTCCACTGTAGTAGTACATATATTTTACTATACTTACATCAACGTGCATTAAAAAGTACCCCAATAGATGGATTTTCTAAAGTGTAAATTACCCGTATAGTACACTTTTGTATGATCCATATCATTTATGTCCCAATATCTTTTTCTTTTCATTTTTAACTTTTGAGTTTTCAATTATCATTATTTATTGCACTTTTAGACTATTGTCGCCTTCTCTCCCCGTAGATTAGAACTCCCTAGCCGTAAAAGGCATATTCCTGCGGTGAATAGACGACGATGAAATTCCTCATCGGTGAAGACAAAGGCTGATTGGGAATCCACTCTCACCAATTCTTCATCAATTCTACGGTGAATTAGGCATTCATGATCTTCTTCGACATCGGTCGTGTCGTGATGGAGCTCTTCAGCTATACGACTCCAAGGATGGCCGAGAACTTACATCCCTCTGCACAGGAGAGTAAGGAATTGGGAGTCTGGCAAACTGCTGCAGTTCAAGGGCTTCACGTTCCACCGTGCGATCCCCAATTTCATGTGCCATAGAGGCGATTTCATGAGGGGAAATGAGACCAGAGGTGAGTCAATCTACGGTGTCAAAGTTTGCAGACGAAAACTTCATTCAGAATCACGCCGACGTCGACATCCTCTTTATGGAGAATTCAGGGCCAAACACAAACTGATCCAGTGAGTTTTACGGTTGAATTGCTTGATTACAAATATATTTTGATAGATTTTGATTTGGTTGAGTTTCTATTCAGATGTTTTTAAAATTAATTTATAATGTTAGTATCAATAGGTTCTGAAACCATTTTTCTATTTATCCTTCAAATCTTCTCTGTTGTTTGAGTATTCAAATAGAACTTTAATATGAAAATTAAAAATGTTTAACTGTGTATTAGGGAGTTCATAGACAAAACCTTGCAAAAATCTAGAAACTAGTAGAAGTTTTGCAAAAGATTGACTTTGTGTTCCTGTCAAAATGTCATTGGCAAATGGAGTAAACATGATCATGTTATATCCTTTGGATTTGTGTAATTTAACCTTCGTACATTAATCTACCTTGCTGGCTATGCAGCAGAAGTGCTTACAGCCTTACAAAGTGAAATATGGCATCATTGTTTGTAACTTTAATATAGAAGCTACAAACAGTCTGGAAATTATATTTGGTTGAAATGTAGTTTTCTAGAGTTAAACATTATGCTAATATAACAAAAGACTACGTTCAGAAATGCAGTCTCAATTTGCAATGAAAAACTACTACTTCATCAATTAAAAAACCTTCTATAAGAAACTCATGGCTGATAATTACAAGACTAGTTAAAATACATTTTTAATGCAGGTCTCACCTTCAAGTATACTGGGATCTGAAATGCCGAATCGCAAGGATTTACTTTATCATTTCATTTAGTTGTAAATGTATATTAGAAAATGAGATTGGTTGTACACTCTTATATATTGTGTACTTATATTTGTATTTTATAATCATGAAAATGAAAAAAAAAACAAACGTGAATATTTATTCATTAGATTCCATTATATGTTGTTTTTCTTTTTTGTTTCTCTTTGTTGCATTATGTTGCTTTTTGTTGCATCATGTTTCATCTTGTTTCTATTACATTGTTTCATCATGATGCTTTTTGTTGCGAATTGTTGTTTTTATTGTTTTATGTAGTTAAAATTGTTTTTTTTTAATTTTGGTCTATATATATATCTTTGTTGTTTCTTTGGAATAAAAAATCATATATTGAAAGGAAGGAGGTGGTGAGCCTCCAAAAATCTATTTGGATGAGGCTATTCACACTAATTTTGGCTCCTTGGATGCCCGAGTTCAAATAATTAATGTTCGTAGAAGGTGCTGCTCTACAAAGTTGTGGCTGTGTGTGATTGGGTTTGGACAGACAACTGAAGACTTGTGGTAGAAACCACCCCAAATCAAGATCCATCGGTAAGGGCTAAACCTGGTGCCCCTCCTGGGCATAGATGTTTGGGAACACACATACTACTTACAAGACAAGAACGTGAGACCAGATTACTTGAAGAACATATGGAAAGTTATAAACCGGAAGTATTCGAGTGACGATGATAATAAGACTAAGAGGATCAAAGAGAAAAAGAAGACAAGAAATTAAAGCCAGATCTGAGGAACTGAAAGTATGAATAGATTTTGCTTTTTGTTGCATTATATGTGTCTCTTTTTATTGCGTTGTGTTTTTTGTTGTTGCATTGTGTTTCCTGTTGTTAAATTGTATTGCTTATGGTTGTTTATAGTTGAATTTAATTTTAGTTGTTTATATGAATTCCTACTTATCTTTGCTACTTCTTTGAAATAAGAAAAAATCATTTATTGATAATATTAACTTAAATTGATAAATTTCGATCTATGAATATCAACAATAAAACTTAAAGAAACAATAAAAACAAATATGCAAAATTTGAAACGAAAATAAACATAAAGAAACACAAAGCAACAACACCCAACAAAAAATAACAATAAAGTGATAATAAGAATTAAACTTTGTAGCTCCTTAAAAAAATAAGAAAAAACATGTTGTGTGATATTTTCAAATATTTTACGATTTTTACTATTTTAAATATTTTACATTTGGTATTCGAGTTTTGTGCTATTCTTCCCTTTCTTTTTTGGAATTTTTACCTTTCTGAAATTTTTAATACTTTTTTTTACATTTTTTATTTTATTTTCTATTTTTTAAATTTATTTTTTACTTTTTCAGTTTATTTTTCTTTTTGAGTTTTTTAAATTTTCCTTATGAGCGTGTTTATTTTACTTTTATTAAGTTTCCTGATTTTTACATTAGTTCAACATTTTTATAAATTTCTATATCTTTGCTTTCTAGTTTTGATTTCAAATAAAAAATAACTAATTCTGCAGTTTCTTTTTATATTTTGGTATCACAAGAAATAAAAAACTTACTACTCTGTATTTTAAGCTTTTATGTTTTTTTTAAAAATAATAATATTTATATTTTGTGAGAATTTTCCTTCTTTTAATTATTCAAGTAGTGAAGATGCACGTCCATTACTAAGATTTTAATGTTCGTTAGTGGGACTGTGGGAGTGAGGTCCAATGCTTTAATATTCATTCTTTAATATTCCTTGTTACTACATAACCAGGGGTGGATCTACAGCCAAGGGAATGGGGGCAGGTGCCCCCAATAACTTCTTATAATACTTTTGTAAAATTTATAATCTAGAGGTATGCCCCCAATTAAAATATAGTGATGCCCCCAATAGAAGTTTAATTTGGCTTCAATTGAAGAGGAAGTTTCTTTCATTTTGTAAAATTATTCGCTTATGGACTGTATCAATTACTAAGGGTGTTTAATTAATCATTTTCTTGATTACTTTTCCTAGACTAATATAGTCAATATGTACGACTCATAACCACTATTTTATTTGCTTTTGTAAATTTACTTCCTCCGCAGGCATCTTTCATTTTATGTAGGGATTAAATAAAATAAGATTGCAATTATATTTTGTGGGATAGTTTCAAGTTATTAATGTTTTTTTGATAAATGATGCTAAATAGGACTAAAAATGTTTTAGAATTCTAAAATAGAACTGTCATATTTTTATTTTTTTAAATAGGAGTAATATAATTGATGGCATGTTTTGACAGTATCAAACTTTAGACATGAAAGTATTTTCCGAAATTGACCGTAATTACTCGTATTTAAGGAAAAACATTACACTCCTATTTTGGAATTCTCAAATATTGTTACTCCTATTTCTGAAACTTTTCCATGTTTTTTAGGTTTTAGTGGGAGTTAAAATATTGAACTAAGCTTATTAGCTTAGTTTTAGAAAGTACTAAAAAAAACTCTGTATGTGTTTATAAATTATTAAAAATATTCTTAAATTGCAAGAACAGGAATGTAGTGTATATTACAAACTACTTTGTCCTATTATATTTTTCTAATCATTCTATTTTTCATATGTCCTACTTTCATTGTCACATACTACCTCCGTCCCTCTATGTTTGGGACAAAGGGATGTGGTGTGGTTTTTAAGAAAAAGTAAAATTGTGTTGTTGGTAGTATTGGATTGATAAAGTGTAAATCAAGTAGGAATGAATTCTAACCACTCAAATATTACCAAATATGATATGAGACAAACTTAATGGGATGAACGAAAAAGGTAAAACGGGACAAAATTAGAGGGACGGAGGGAGTAATATATTTGGTAATATTTGTGTGATTCATCATCTTAAATTATAATTTACAAACTAACATAGTTTTACTTTTAGCAATATGTGTTTTTACGACTCAAACATATTTAGGCGACGGTATCATTAAATATTGTGCCCCCAATAAAACCAATTCCTGGATCCGTCACTGTACATAACTACGTAAGATTTAAGATGCACACAGAGTACCTGATCAGTATTAGTTTGGGAGCGGGAGTCTATTATCGAAAACAAAACATCAACTTGTCTATTTTTGAAAAACACTTTTTAAGATGACAAAATTGATATAACTTTCAATTTTAACACACTTGTGAAAATTTCCCTTTTCTAAATCCGCCCTTCACTCTATCAATATTCAAAAAACAGATGTAACATATAGATGTATAGTTGCTGTTGCGTTATTAGTGTTATTACAAAGCAAATAATTGCAAGGTTTAATAGTAACCATCAAGCTAATGTTTGAACATGCATATACACACACAATATCAAGAAAGCTAGTTAGGAAAAATAAGCCACTAGCTTTGAGGAAAGATAATTACTAATGCAATATTTTTTTGTTACAAATTAAGAGGAATGTTGTAGCTAACCATTGAAGTATTTTCTACATTAAATATAATTTTTGTAGAAATTGCACTGATGTGGAAAATCAAACCATAAAGAAAACTAGCATTCCTATATGGAACCATTTTGGTTGCCATTTACCATCGTTAGTCGTTACACCGTAATCACTACAAAAATTAGTAGTATTAGTTAGGACTCTAAAAGGTATTGATTAAAAGGCATACACAACACTAATAATTTTACAAAGCCATTTGAATTAACATTTAAATCAAACTAATATTAATTATCAATTGAAATCCTTAATAAAAGGTATTAACAATAATTGCTAAATTAATACATAATTCCAAACGAATTTCAAATATATGCACAATAAATAATAACATCACTAACATTTCAACTTAAATATATTTTTAATTAATTAACAACTTTGGTAACAATTTAAATTAATTAATAACGTAAATAAATTAATATTTAGCCTAAAAAATTAAAGATACAATAATTTAAATGACATACCTTATCTGCAATATGCATTGAATAGGAGAATGACATAAGATTACATCCTTCAATCTTTCTACAAAGAATATACTAGTATTATAATCTGAATGAATTTAAACATGTATGAAACTATGAATTGAATGAAATTGTTCTTGCATATATAAAACAGTGTGTCACAGATTTGTCACAGATAAGACCGATAAGTCCGTGAAAATGACTAACCGTACAACATTAACTAATGGATCGTTGGGGGATGACAAATATTGAGCATTGTCACGGACTTTGTCATGGAACTAGCCGTGACAATTTAAAACAAAAAGTTTTGTCACGGACTTTGTCACGGAAATCACCATGATAATTTTTATAAAAAAAATAAAGTTTTGTCATGGATGAAATCCGTGACAAATTGCCAGGAAAAGAAACAGTTCAACGTATGTTTGCGGTCACCAGAGTTACGTTGTCAGGGACGTTGTTACGGATAAAATCCGTGACAAAATTTTGTCACGGATTTGTTCCGTGACAAAAAAAAAATATCGTGAATTGGGAGATGTATCCGTAACAACATCCATGATAAACTTGTTACAGATCGAATCCGTGACAAAAATTGGTGTGACTTTTTTTTGTAGTGAACGTTCGTGTATATATCCGCCACGATCAGTAGGGCATTGTTTAATTGCATTGTGGACACTATGAGAGATATTTGTTTTGGAAAAACATTGTATTTAAGTGATGAAAGCTATATGCATGAATGGTCGATATTGAAATGTGCAAATTAGAGATGGGCTTAGATGTGACTGTCAACAAATCGCTCAATCTATTTTTTTGCAATCCCAGTTCCATTTTTATATTGTATTATTGAGTTCGAATGCCCCCATACTCATAACTATTAGCTTATGAAGTGTCCAAGTAAAATTGAGCGAGCTATAAGCAAGTTGAAAAATTAAGATAAAATTTTGTTTGGAAAATGTGTTAAAATTGCATTAAATAGTCAATTTCGGGTAGAATTTTGAGTGAGCCTCACTTCTGATTTGGATCGGGTCAAAGTAGTTTCAAATTCTCCTTGTTAAGAGCTTCAATTCGATATGTGGCACACTCAAAACAGATAACGGGTGAGTGAGAAATTACATCTCGAAGTTCACTTGTTGAAATGGAGAAAACTAGGAAGATGATGGTTTCTAGTGTTGTTTATCCCACATCGGAAAACCCAAGATATTTCCACCCCTTATAAAGGTAACCCCTTTTTAAGGAGTTAAGATTCCTAGGTGGAAAGACGCTTGTTGTTCAATGGTCTCTAGGTGGCAGTAGAGCTATCAAAATGGGCCAAAATTCACGGGCCGGCCCATTTAAACCCATTTATTGATGGGTTAGGGTTGTGAATTTCTGACTCATAGCTCGTGGGTTTCGCGGGTCAATGCACACGAATTGCGGTTTTAAGTGGGTTGGTCCAATGGGTTGTGGGTTTGGCCGCGGGTCAATATACAAAAATATAGTTTGGACTTTTATTATCTTCAATATTGTTCTTTTACTACCGAAATTATTATAATTACAATTAAAAAAATTATAACCATTACAAAATATAATAAATATTCAAATAAAATGTTGAAACATACGAATTATAATTTATGTGAAGTTCGATACAATACTTAGAAATTAGTAGTCATGATTTACAAATAATCAATCAAAAGGTTTAAGTAGATTTTTACTTTTATACAATTAGTATTTTTGTTACATACCCTCTTATAGTTTTCAAATTCTCGTATAACTAGTATTTAATTAAACTTAACAAGTATTGAGTTCTTAGTATTTTGATTTCTTAAATTTCCCTTATTACTACTTACTAATATAAATATATACTTCAAGGTAATTATTTCTAAAGAATCTTTTGTCATATAATATGTTTTTTTTACATTCGCCGGCGGGCTAACCCGTTTAACCCATGGGTTAAGTGGGCGGGGTTAGAGTTGTAGAAATTATGCCCCGTCACTAAACGGGTTAGCCCAACCCACATAAAACATAACCCGTTACGGGTCGGGTCGGATTGGGTCTTGTTGGCCCGTCTGATAGCTCTAATATTGAAAATAGAATAAATTAAAACACTTATAATCATATTTTTGCTGTTTTGATTCAATTATTGAGCAATTTCTAAAAAATGAACTGCTTGTTTTGATAATAATCCTATGTCATACTCCGTATCACTTTAAATATATAAAAATATAGCATTATAAACCAAAAAAATATTTTACCAAAGGGGAACTAAATATAAAATGGAATACATATCATAAAAGATGCAAAGGCCAAAGCACCGGTAAAAGAAGGGCATTGTTCCGTACACTATTTTTTGGCAGGGCTGCCGTTTTGGTGTCATTTTGGGAGCTGTCTGTTTTTCATCAAGTGTTTATTTCTGTGATAATTATGATGTGAATGGCTCATGTTGAAATGGTTGGTACTTTGATCATTTTAATGCAAATTAGAGATGGTTAGGGATGTATATAAGGATATAGTGGGGACAATTTTTTAATGTATGAATTTTTAGGTGTATTGAATTTAATGAATAAAAGTCTAATATTCAGTCCCAAACCAGACTTAAACAAATCAGACCAGACCAGATTTAAACAGATCAGACCAGATCAGACTTGACTTCCATAGTTATAAAATACAGAGATACCAGACGTTTACCAGACCAGACCAAACCAATTCAGACCAGATCAGACGAGACAAGACTTAAAAAGACCAGACCAGACTTAAGCATACCAGACCAGACCAGCAAATTACAGTTCAAGTAAAAACATCCTAAATGTATTCAAACATTCATTCATTCTTGTAGACTTTTAAAACCACTAATTGTTGTGGACTCTTTAACTCATTATGACACCGTTTGGATAGCAACGGATTACACAAACCGCTATTTTTTTTATAAGTAGAAACGCTGCATTTTGCAGCGGGTGGGTATTGACGAGCACTTTGTCACGGTACATCAAAATAAATTCAATACTACCACTAATACGTAGTATAGCGTAGTAGAGTTCGTATCCACAAGGAAAGAAATACTTTTCTTTTTATGAACTTAGTAAATAAAAGGGGAGTTTTGATGATGAATGATTTAATTTAATTAAAAACTAAGATGAACGACTTATATGTGTTTTAATTCAAAGATAAAAGAACTTGGCATTGCTACTTTCCCCTTGTTGATATATTTTAGTCGATCATTGTTATATCTATAACTTATTTCCTCTCGAATACTCAATCGAGGAGTATATCCAATTCATCGAGAATAGTTATTAACAACGACCGTTCATTAATTAATAACCCTTACTATTAGTCAAGTATAGAACACCGCCATATACCGACTTGATAGTAGCATTTAATCTCTTAACTCCTTGATGAAATCAATTGAGATCAATAACTTCAACACAACAGTTTCGATTTTACCAACAAAATTAATCCCTCTTAAGTTTATCAACCACGACCGTGCATTGATAAACTGAAGTTACTTACTTGTGAAACCATCAACGATTAATCATCGGTTCGTCGATCGTTTCTAGTGATAATTAATATATGAAACAAAACTAGTTGATCCTTTAAGTGATGTTCAAAATATTAATATGAAATATGAATAGGAATTAATTAATATTCAAGGAAGAATATTATTAAAGGAGATGAATCCTACAATAATTAATATCAAGATGTTAACTAATTGTCATCTTAGCAACACTCCCCAACATTAATATAGAGGAAGGAAATGCTATTCTAACTAATGTCGAGATGTTAACTAATTGTCATCTTAGCAACACTCCCCAACATTAATATAGAGATGGTATTTAGGAAAGAACTAATAATTAATATTCAAAGAAAGAAGTTAAGAGAATAACTCACAACTTTAATAATCAACAAGCTTCAAGAGCAACACCAAGAATGGAAGTTTAGCTCCTCATTTGGAGACTAAACATAGCTAGAAAAATATAAAGAAATGCTATTCTAAACTGAGTTTAAGAGTATGGAAGAAAGGATGATTTTTTGAGAAGAAAAAGAGTGCTATTTATAGGTGTTTTTCAACACCTTTGGTCGGGTACCCGACCGGGTCAAGTACTTACCCGACCGGGTCCGGTCAAAATCAGATGATTCACCACGTTCTGGTGATCTTCGCACACCGGGGTTGTCCCCGGTCACTTCTCACCCGACCGGGTGAGGTATGGGGCCCGACCGGATCCAGCCCTTTCCTCAGCGGTTCGGTTTTCAAATCAGACCCGACCAGGTGAAGTTTCCTACCCGGTCGGGTATTTGCTCCCAGACAGTCAAAATTCCTTTTTCTTCACTTCAACATCCTCCTTTTCAACATCCTAATTCCTAATTCTACTTTATAACTTACAAATGAGAACTAAAATACAATTACAACTAAAATCACACAAATGTTTACAAACTAAATAAAACGTCAAACAATCACCATCAATGAAACATAAAAACATATAATTATGCACTACTAACTAGTGTGCATCAGGTATCAACCCACCGAAAAACAAATGAGGCCTATGAGTACATTAGTTCCATATAAATTGTCTCTTGCTCCCTAAAATTTTTGTGAATCTTTCATTTTGTTTCCTACTCATCACATGTACAGGTAGATAGACACGATTACAACATCAGATCAGAACTGATCAATTATTTATTTGAGATCATGAACCGCTCATATCCTAGACTAGTACCAAGTCGAGAGGTGAGTACGAGTCGAGGGTAGTCTCGATACGCAAAGTTCTTTTTGAATTTATGATAAAAATCTAAACAAAAAATTAAAAAGTGGCTTTAAATTTATCATCTTATGAAGAAAAAATAATGGTGAGATCGATTCGGTCCTTTAAAATAAAATTAGGACCCATTTAAATAATCACGAATTCAATATTATCAATTTGGTCTTAAAAGTTTTTTGAAGAGCCAATATAAGTACAGATAGTATCGTAACGGTGCATATTTTTTATGTTATTTAACGGTTAACCATAAAAAAACAAAAATATATTTAATTATTGTCGTGATTCATCGTTAAACTGCTAACACATAAAACTATAATATCAAACTAATAAATTTTTAACTGTAAAATAGTAAACAAATTTTAACAAGCTAAAAATTTAAAATCAAACCATTAAAGAAAACCTCTATTACATCTATGTTCGTCTTTCACGTAACAACAAATATAACGGTTGTTTAGTCACTATCACTTTTACTCACTCTATTAACAATTTTGAGTTCTTGATAAAGAATTGAATTACCTTGGATCCTTAAACTTCTCTGTTTCTTACAGAACGTTTCATTACGAATTACATTTGCTTTGTTTGTCTCTTATCATTTTGTGTAATAATGTACTTCCTCCACCTCTAATGATTCTAGACTTGTAAATATTAGTTATCATTGTTCTTGTTTAAACTTCTATTTCATTCATATGAAATCTATAAATTAATATAAATCAACAAACTCATTCAAGAAAGTCTAAAAATTTAGAAGTGTACAATTTTTGTTAAAGGTCAGCAGATAAAATTAAAAAATCTACAACAATCCATATATAATACATACGTAGTACAACCTTTACTAAAGGCGCTAGGCGCTAGTCGGGCGTCAGCCCAGCGCCTAGGCGGCTAGGCGGGCGCTTAGGCGGGGACTAGTTGGAGACATAGAAATTATAGTTTTATCAATATTTTTGCATAAATATGATTAGCAATGTTGTGTTTTGATGGGTATAAAAATATGTATAGACATTAGCATGCATGAATGATAGAGTTGTCACATTTAAAAATACTCCCTCCATCCCATAAAATTATTCTCACTTTCCTTTTTGGGTCGTCCCAAAAAATTCTTCCCACTTACCATTTTTGGACAATTTGTGTGGTTCACATTCATTTCACATTTTTCTTACACAACTACAACCATACATTTCCAATTTCTTAATCTCCGTATCAAGTCAAAGTGGGAAGAATTTTATGGGACGGGGGTAGTATATTATTCCTACTCACTTAACTTCATTATGTAGTAAATATTACTTCCTCCGTCTCATTTTACTTGTCTTACTTTCCTTTTTCTGTTGTCCAAAATAAGTGTCACATTTTCTTTTTGGAATGAAATATGTGGTTCACAACATTTCATTTTACTATACTCAAAACACAATCACAACTTTTACCTTTTCAACCACTTTATTAAAAATTGTGTCAAAACTAAATGAGACACATAAAATGGGACAGAGGTAGTATTAAATAATAATAACACTCAAGTTTTTATCGTAATTTACAACTAATAGCTGTCTTCATATGTGTTGTTAAAGTTAAGGGTATATATATTTCTAAGAATACTAAAATAAAAAGAGAAATAAAATGTTCGACGAATCTAGACGCCTAGGCGGCCGATTAAACGTTCTGGGCGGGCAACTAGGCGCCTTAGGCGGTCGACTAATTCACCTATGTGTCAAATCAATTAGTCGGAGCGCCTAGACTAAAATCGGGGCGCCCGACCACCGCCTAGCGCCTAGGCGGGGACTAGTCGGTTGCTAGAACAGTGCTATAAATAGAACAGAGTATATGGTAATGGTACACCAAGATGTCTTCCCCAACATAAAAAAACATACAAGAACACGACTCTCTCGATCTCTTTCTTCAAGAGAATGGGAAGCATCCATGAGTGGAGGAAACCCAGATTTCTTTGCCTTCATGGTATGAGAACTAATGCAGATATTCTCAAGAAAGAATTGGTCCGTAAATGGGACTCAGTCGTCCTAGATAAACTCGACCTCGTCTTTGTGGATGCCCCTTTTCCATGTCTGGGCAAATCCGATGTCGAGGGGATTTACGACCCTCCTTATTATGAATGGTTCCATATGGATAAGGTTTTTTTATACTCCCATATTTTCTCATATTTTTCTTTTTGTTTTATCCCACCATGATTTTCTTTTATTTTATTTTTACTTTATTAATTCAATATTAACCACATAAATTCATTTTTTAATAACCGCACCACGTTCTAATGTTAGTGAGACCGAAGAAATAACAAAAAATCGATCAACCTATCTAATTTTCTTCTTCTAAAAGCTAGATTTTAATTCATAATTTAAAATATAAAAATTGATATCAGGAAATGACACAAACACCCCAGAAAGTGAGTGAATGTATAGCATATGTGGAAGACTGCATGATCAAATATGGACCTTTTGATGGCCTTCTTGGTTTCTCCCAAGTTAGTCCCCTCATTTCCTCCAAATTTCTTAGCGTCCACTGCTCCACAACTTTTCATTTACTTCTCTAGACTAGATGATGAGGACAGCTTTATAATTTATACTCCGTTTAGTATTACGTTTTTGGGTTTATTTGAAATTTAAAAAAATTGTCTCTCCAACTTGTGATTTAATTTGGGGCTTTTGTTTCTATTGTTTTGTCTGGTTAACAATTTAGGGTGGAATGTTGGCAGGAGCCTTGCCTATCTTACAAGAAAAGGTATATGAAGTGTGTCTGATGTGAGTATTTATTTATGAAGAGTTGATCATTTAGTAATATAAAGAAAATGCAAACTAATAACCTCACTTTTTATTAGTTTTCTAAGAATCCTCCCACTTATAATCTAGGAATAACAATAACTTTGCACTCATCTTCTTCCATCAAATGATTGATGACATGTTATTTCAGGTTATTTTCTTTTCCTTAATTGCAAAACATTATATCATAAATCTCACCTTTAACGTACAAATCTTCTCAAAACGGTCTCACGTATCAATTTTCTTTTCTTTCCCTAAAAGTTTTCTCTCCCTATTTTTATCTACTTGACTCTTCTAGACCCTTTTTCGCCTTCTTATTTTTATTTCTTTTACATGTTTATGTATTTCATTTCTTCCTTCATTTTTTGGTTCCCCTATATTATTTCATTTCCACTTTTATGTATTTTCCAGATTAATTCTCTTCTTATAAAATATATTTTCCTCACTTTACTATTTTTCTACTTTACTTTCTTTGTACTTCCACTTTTTTTCCTTTTTCCTTTTCAGCATCATTCCACCATTAATATATTTTTCTCTTTCCTGCATGACTTATTTTTCTAAGAGAGTCCATCATTAATTCCATCAGCTATAATGAAAAATCTTCAAATAAAAAACTAGCTTAGTTTAGAAGGACAATGAAGGAAAAAACAAGAAAATTGCTGAAAACGAAGAAAGTGTCACAAACCGCTCCAAGAGACCAAGACTAATGAAAACGGATGGGGAAAGGGGGGGAAAACAATAACTTGTATTATGGAGAAAAAGGAAAGAAGAAGGAAGAACGGGGTGAAAATAAAAAGAAAAAAAAAATCAAAGAAAAATATAAACAAGTAGTTGGAAATATTTATAAAAAGAGACTACAATGAGAGGAATACATAAAAAGGAAGAAAATATAAATGGGGAGAAACAAAAAAAATAAAATACTATCGAAAAAAATTCTATAAAAAACACTTGTGGTAAATAGATAAAGGAATACATAAACAAGATAAATAAATGAGAATACAAAAGAAGAAAATGGAACAAAAGCATTGTGGGGATAAAGAAAAATTAAAGAGAGACTTTTACGGTGAAGAAATCTTATACGTGGCCGTTTTGAATAGATTGTAGAAGATGAGATTTTTATGATTTAATGATTTGCGAGGAAAGAAAAAAAAAATTGGAATAACAAATCATCAACCGGTTTTGGGTCATCGAAAGAAGATGGGGTGCAAATGTGAGATTATTGCGATAACGGTTAGGTGGAACTATTCTAGTAAGACCGGTAAATGATGAGATTATTAGTTTTTATTTTCAATATATGTTATCAATTTATCAACCTTATCAGTCATTTTTAGTGAATATGTAACTTTTGATTTCGCGCGTTGAATTGTGTAATAATCAAAATATGTATGATTGAAATTACTTTTATGACAAAATTGTCTAAAGTAATCATTGTAGATTACTATTTTAGATATAATTATTTATATTTATAAATTCTTCAGATTCAACACATTCAGTCAAATTAGTCAGAATTCCAAGCTCTAATTTCAACTAATTTCAACATGATTCAACTAATTTCAATGTTATCAAATTACAGAAGCTCTAACTTTATGAAATGTTTGACATTTTAATCAGATAATTTCCAATTTTGCCCGCTATTAATTTCGTTACTTTATTAACTAATAAATTTGACCAAATTAACAACTCTTCCACGACAAAATACATCTTTTAAAAAAATCACACCAGAAAGACGTAACATCGCCAAATTTTCCATCGCATAGTGAACTCTCTGGTAAAACTTTTCTTATTTACAATTTTTGTAAACACTAACTACTAGTGTGTAAATTACTTTACCAATTCTATCCAAATATAAGTCGTGTTCATTGTTTAATACTCCGTACTAGTGCAAAAAGTGTCTATTGTAGCGTCCATTTGGTAGCTTCGTAAAATTGCTACAATATGATATCTATTGCAGCATAATTGTACCAGAAAATGTTATAGTAAAATGATAAATTGCTATAATTACATCTATTATAACACTCGTCGGGTGCAGCATACTAAAAATGCTACATTTGATATATTGTGACATTTTTGACACATATTGCAACATTTCCATATGCTACAAAAGCTATGGAAAATGTAAAGCAACATTTTAGTGACCAAAGTTTAGTGACAAAGTGTACGGGCTACAATAGTGAGCAAAGTTTAGTGACTAAAGTGAATCTTCCATAAGCAACATTTTCCATTATGCTACAAAATAATTCACTAAATAATCATAGTATTCTATTGTTACTTTCTAGATGATAAAAAAATGGTCCTTAACTTTTCATGTTATGATTCAATTTCTTGTTTAATTCATGAAGATACATTAAAATAAATCATTCAAGAATATTACTTTATGGATACAAGCTTATAGCAGTATAAAAGGTAATGAAGCATTTGGTATGATATTAGTTTTTAACTTTTATAACCAGAATGGAAATTCTAATTACCAAAACGATATACTTTGAGTATTTGATAATAGTGGTTATAGATATAATAATTTAATAGGCCATCACATTATTTATTTTGGTTTTATTACTTCTTGAATTGCTGCAACTCATAATTAACTTGGCGGGGTTATTTAAAATTTGTGTATTTGTATGGGCAGGGTTTAGTTTTGACCAAAGTTCCAAAGATTAAATGTGTGATAATAATAGGAGCGGCAAAAATAAGCAGGGACAAATTTTTAGCCGAAAATGCATATGATCCACAAATCAGGTGCCCATCTGTTCATATCATTGGGAAGGGAGAGGGCTTCAGGGAATCAGCAATACAACTCGTTGAATGTTATGTTGATCCCATAGTCATTCATCATCCCAAAGGCCATACCATTCCCAGACTTGGTAAATTCTTATATTTTATCATTAAGTGACAAGTTCAACAACAAGTAATGACATACTAGCCCCTTCACATACTTAGATTATTATTAACGATTAAAATTTACATATTAAGAAACTATATTAAAAGTCATACTAAATCTCAATAATTTGATACAAATTTGATCGAAGCTAGGTTTGATCTATATATAAAATTAATTATTTAGAGAGATTTAAATTGGCTAGATGAATAGTGAACATGAACTTGATTTTGTGACTTAAATGGTATATATTGTGATTTCTTACCAAATATTTAATCATCATCATTTTCATTTACCCCAGTGCCGCAAAGGCTCCCACCTACGGTGGGGTAAGGGGGGTCGGATGTACGCAGTCTTACCCTTGTACCAAAGCACAGAAAGACTGTTTCCGGAGGACCAATAGTGAAAATCACGTCCAAAATTGCATGGACTCACTGCTGCTTCATAACAAAGAAGCGCATACAGTTTAGTGGCTCAAGTGGACCACTTGTCAATTGAATATGTGAACTCATCTATCTACGAAGTATATCTTTCGACCGTATCGCGGAAAAAATCTACCCAAGCCGCTTGCTCACCCTACTTTTTTTCGTCTTTTTGATTCTTTTTTCAGATGACAAAAGTTTGGGGGAAATGCTTTCATTCATCGAGAGGATCGAAAGGGATATTAACAAAACAGAAAGATCATCCTTAAGGCATAAATCCAAGTTATAACCAAACCTCTAAAATTAATTAGTACTTATATATGGTTGTTGGAATGGTGGCTCAACTCTTATGAATGTTGAAACTTGAAACGGGCGGAAAATCTGATGTCAAACGTTGTAAGGTGACTTATTAATAATGAATAATGATCGAAGGAAAAATAGCCATATTTTTTGTATTAAGAAAACAAATGTAGTAGCATATATGTGTATGTGTGTCTCGAGATGTTAAAGTGTAAAGATGCCTTTACATTTGAATTTGGTCACTTTATAATCATAAGTAAGTGCAACTCAAATGTGTAATATTTAATAACAAAAGTGATTGTGTTGCATTATAAGTGCATTTCATCAATTTATCAAATATATAATTCTAATTCTTATATTCATGTTTATATGTAATTTGACAATATGAATCCATGAAAACCCTTAAAGAATAGTTGTAAATTTGAGATTTTTTTTCTATTTGACTTTGTCAAAAAAATTATTACTTTAATATTTATTTATTTTTCTTTGACATTTTTGTTGCAACATACTCTGTATGTTATTTTATATCTGAGAATAAATTTTGTTAAATACATACTTCCTCCGTCCCAAAATACTTGGTCAAATCTTGAAATTTGGAACATTGTTTTGATTAGTATAATACTATGAAAGTTAAAATTTTGTACTTTTATGAAAGTAATTTGAACAAAGAACATTTTTATATCATTTTTATGTTATAAATAATTCCAATAAATATATATAGTTGATCAAAGGTTTGACATTTATTTAAATTATACCCTATTTAATTAATTTGTTGCCTCACCTAAACGTCAATGCTAGATCCACCCCTGTATATGGGGAGGGTTCAATTAGGTGAGAATGATATGCTACGAGAGAAATAAGAATAAAATATGATCACTCATTCTTTTAATCGTGCGGCTGAGGACAAGAACCATCAGAATTGAAAAATTGCACACGACGTGCACATGGTAGTATATATATAAATCGATACCCGCACGGGTAGCTCAGTTGGTCGAGCGGTGGGAAAAATTGGACGTAGACCAAGGTTTGAATCCCGCAGCGGCCAAAAGGGGGTTTTCAGACCCTGAAATAAGTCTGACCCTCTGGTGCGCACGGGTAAAGGCATACTGTCGCTTTGCTGACTGAGTCATCGTGATTAACCTCCCCACCATCCTGTCGGGTCGGGGTGGGGAGGGGGGGCTTGGGGTTGGGCATCAACCTTATTGGATGTAGTATACAAATCGAAAACGCATACATCTTTATATAATACTCCATCCGTCCCGCTAGAAGGTTCTCACTATCCTTTCTTGGACGTCTCGTTAGAAGGTTCTCATTTCCATTTTAGGAAACAATTAACAATCTTAAGTGACAAATTAATCATTAAATACTAAAAATACTCCCTCCGGTCCTAAATAAACTTCACACTTTCCTTTTTGGGTAGGTTCAAAATAAATTTCACACTTCTTCTCCCTTCCTTATTTGACAAATTATCTACATCAAAACAGTGCAAAACAGTGTCAAACAGTGCAAAACAGTGTCACAACAGTGTATCTACAGTAAAGTCAAATTTATTTCTTTAATTTGTGTGAAGTCAAAGTGTGAAATTTATTTAGGACCGGAGGGAGTAATACATTTATAACATCACAGTAATCAATACTAACTACATTACAATATAGGGAAAATGGAAACTAATAATCCAACCTTTTAGCGGTCTTCTTACAATAGTCCCACCTTTTGATTATTCATGAATAATCCAACCTTTGCACCCTATATTCATTCACTGGTCCCTGACCGATTTATGACCTATTATTCCAAGTTATTTTCTTATCTTTGCAAAACATTAAGTGATCATAAGGCGGGAATTATGGTACTCCGTATAATGTTTTACAAAGATAAGAAAATAACTTGGAATAACAGGTCATAAATCGGTCAGGGACCAGTGAATGAAGATGGGGTGCAAAGGTTGGATTATTCATGAATAATCAAAAGGTGGGACTATTGTAAGAAGACCGCTAAAAGGTTGGATTATTAGTTTCCATTTTCCCTACAATATATACCTATTAAAATTATTTCTCAAAATATACTCTAAGTACTTTATTTAATTATTGTCTAAATAACCTTGTCGTTTTGCCGTTTTACAAGAGGGCGGTGCTTATTACTTCGATTTATTGGTTGCTATAAACGACTCGAAATCCAAAAAACACACTACCCACAAATATCGTCTCAATTTTTTGGGAATTACTAGGGTCGGGAACATGATATTGAGCAGTGTGCCTAAGCATCATTTTAACTTTAGAAATTGCTCTAAATAGGAGCAAAAACGTTTTGAAATTCTAAAATAGGAGTATCATGTTTTTACTCCTATTCAAGGAATAAAAAACATGATAATCCTATTTTGGAATTTCAAAACTTTTTTACTCCTATTTAGAGAATTCACCATTTTAACTTCGCTAGCTTCAGTGATATTTTGGATGGAAAATATGAGAGGTCAAGTGATAAACTGTTTTAAAAATCTTAGAGAATTCTTTGAAATTGTACTTCTAATGGGAGGGAAGTCTTCTTACTTTTAAAATCTAAGACTTTTTAAAAACTAAAATGCTACAGATCTCAATTTGTCAAGTGAAAAGTGCATTGTGAACAATTTTAAAATTCTGAGATTATACTTTAATGTTGTACTTGATGTGTAAACGGTTTTTAAAATCTTAGAGAATTCTTTAAAATTGTACTTCTAATGGGAGAGAAGTAAAATATACAATCTTAAGTATTTTAAAGACATACTTATATGATATTAAAGCATAGCCCATGTATGTAAAACTAATGAGTAAACAACTTTAGATTAAACATTTTTTATAGTTTTTCAAAAATCATTATGATGGAAAACGAAAATCATTTTTCAAAACCTTAAAACTGCTTGGAATGTTAAAGTAGAAAAAAAATATGTATATTTTATACGAAAACTGAAAGGAACAGGTTGACCTTCTATTAGTTTTCAGGATGTTATGAAAATTGAAATGTGACATACTTTTTATCTTCTGTATAACTTATAATCTCTTAACTTATCTATATAACATATACTTTAATTGTTTGTCTTTCAGAAATTGTGGCATTTCTGTTTGTCTTAATTTATGAACTTTTGAATATCTCGGTTGGGCACAATAGGCTAGCATCTGAGGGTCGTTCAGTGAGTCAAGTTGTGAGTAGCATGTCAGATCAGGGTACACGAACTTTCAAGGAAGATCTAATGCAGAACCCCCACATGACCATTTCTGACTTGATAGATTCTACCGAGGTAAATAAAATAAGAAAACATTGAAAATAGTACATTTAAGTTAACGGGTGCCTCCGAGATGAGGAAGGTGACTTCATTGCAGGTGCGGCCAGAAAGTGGCCGGGAAGGTTGACACTGCTGATGGCAGAGATGGTCGGCATTCGCGAGGCATTGAGCTGGCTTAAGGACTTCGGGGGCTCATTGGTTGAGGTTGAATCAGATTCAGCAAGGGCGATATCAGAAATCTTGAATGGATCGAGCTGCTCTGCTTTGGGTTTATTGAGAGAAGACATTAATGATTTGGCGAACTTTTATTCGAGCATTTCTTTAAGTCATGTTAACCGCTCAGCAAATAAGCCTGCTCATTTGTTAGCTCAGACGGCTTTGTTCTTTGCCTGATTCGCAATTTTGGTTTTATTCTCCTCCTTTCATTGTATCCGCTTTAGCGAACGATTTGATTAATGCTAATTAAATCCATTTCTTTCAAAAAAAACATTGTTTGGCATGCCTGTCATACCCACTAGCTCGTCCCAGGACGAGGTGCTTAGATCCTCGTCCCTGACATACCTTTGCCTTAGTGGTTTTTTCTGACTCACACAGGCCGAGATATCCAGAACAAGAGGACATGTACCAATTGAAGCTGATCCAGTGGGGCTTGTATTCCAATTCCATTGATTCTGATGACTTTGTGTTGTTGGGCCTCATTTGGCAGAGAGGCTCAGTCAAGGCGAGTAGTCAGGTAGTTGCTGGGTTGTTTATATATACATCAGTATGTGGGTCGTAGGCCAAAGCCCATATACTCTATGATGCACCTTTTAAAAATTTTTAAAACATAATAATATAAGAAATTGTATATTACGCTAGCTCTACTATTAATTGAGTTTAACTTACACAGAGTATGACTTATTGTACGAGGGCGAGAGTTTTGTATATCAAAGCTAATAGAATTATTGGGAATATTGTATGGTGTCCAATCTAATTAAATATCTTTGTATTTGTGTAGTTATTAATTAAATGTGTAATATGGGTCACAAATGTGTTTCAGCCCATTATCTCTCTTATAAGGCTTAAGTTAGACATCCTTATGTATAAAAGGATGCTAACTTAAGCAAACTCTAAGCCTTACAAGCCTTTAACGCACATATCATTCTTAGAAAGAAAGAGTCGTAGCTTTGTGTTTTCGATACCCTATTCTGTATTTCTAAATCTTTATTTGTATAGAATCAAAGTTGTTTCTTCTGTACCCTATATTCTTTGTATGATTGTTGGATGATATTGGGAAAAACAATTGCTATCAGAGCCAAGCGTCAAATCGATTGAGGAATTTCTGCAAAATTCGGACCTGCCATTGACGTTCAAGAAATTTTTTGAAAATCTAATTTTCTGCTATTTTTTGGCTTGATCGACCTGGTTTGGACATTATTCTGCGTTTGCTGGATGTTTTGGATCAACTTTTGAGAAAAACAAGTTTGAAATTTCATTTTTAGAATTTTTGAGATTTCGATGTTTTAAGGTTTTTCAAGTTCGATAGGTTCTGCGAAAAAGACATGAATCTCGATATTTGCAATCTCGATATTTGCAATTTCACAACATTCGTGTCCGCAGGTCGCCCGCGCAGGGGGGTGCGAATTTTCAATTTTGAACTGAAAGCCGAAATCCCATGTGCGTGAGAGCTCCCCTCTTCTCCTTCACCTTTTAATACTAATGAAGGAGTGGTTCATATATATAGGCTTAAAAGTTCCCAAGGAGTTTAGGTGTGGGATTGTTAAAAAGAATCATTTTCTCCATCACTTTAATAACACACTTTTCCATCCATTTTTTGGGGAGCTAGTTTTGAGCCACTTCAAACATCAAGGTCCAAAATTCCAACACCAAAGGTCAACCTTACAATCAAAGCTTCCAAGAGTCAACCTTGAGATTTAAAAAAAATAATTAATTAATTATTATTAAAAAAACTCAAGGTTAAGACTATTTTTCTCAAGGTCCAAGCTACATTTCAAGGTCCAGAAAATTATAGAAACTTCAATCAACCTCACGTCTACGGTCAACATTCAACAATCAACAATGGATACCTCTGGCTCATTATCATTATGTAAGAACATATGTG